GACCTTGCATCCGTCTCATTCTCGTGAACACGATATCTGACAAATGCCTTGATGGCATATATTCAGATTTGGCAAATACATCCACCTGGACTCAACGATGAACTGATTATATTTTGGTGGTCTAAGGTCAAGGTCACTATGACCTCACATGACATGTTTTTGGCCCTAACTCAAGAATCTTTAAGCTAATTATGACAAAACCTGACACAAATGTCTCGTAAGATATAATGATGAAGTTTTGACATGATATATCCAAAAGGCCGAAGCACAGCTTCACTGTGACATTATAATGTTCTGCATGAAACACTTTGCGGCCATTACTCAACGTCATATCTCAGGAACAGAAGAGGAGACATTTGTTCAGACACTGAAGTGGTGACTCATCTTGAGTGTTCACTTTGAAACTGTGTTACTCTGTGCTGCTGGGGGAAGATGCTTATGACGCATTTATGTTTTCATAGCCATGATACGTAGACCATCATACTTGTAGGAGTGTAGGACCAGTGACCAAGCAGCTGTGTTTGATGAGTTGGGGGTGAGAACGTCTCGTCTGTAATTGGCTGATGATATTAATGACAGACTTTGTGTTTCCATCCGACCGCAGAGGATGCCGAAAAGAAAATGTTCTGTTCCTGTGTTACGTCTTAAAAGTACTTTTCACTTTTCACCAACCTCCTTCCTCTCTGCTCCTGAATATTAAAATGACTCATGCCTCCCACACGTGCATGACACACACATGAACACACACACACACACACACACACACACACACACACAAATGCTCACACACACACTGCTACACTCACCTGAATTACAGGGTAAAGCAAAGTGACTCTCAGAGCATAATTGATTGTTCTCAGCACTTTCAGCAGGAAGTGAAAATGACTTCTGGCCACATGCTGAGAGTTTTTCATCAAACATTTTCAGTGTGCAGAGTTTAATACAACTCCTCTGCTGTTCGTTCCATTGCTTTAATTAGAAAGAATTTTAAAAGACGGAGAAATCGAAACACTCTTAACTTCATGTCTTTGACTCTCTGTGAACAAGAATTATTTTAGAGGCACATTTTGGGTCTTTTAGGAGAGGCGCAGGTGACACACAAGTGTACATTATCATTAAGTCTTCACGTCTTTGGATGATCATTTTGCACTCTTTATACCGCTGACACCAACAGCACCATCTTTTTATTAAAGAAACAAAGAACATGAGGTCATCATGTGTGTTACTCGGTCAAACCACAGTAAAATTTTCACTTAAATCCTGGCCCTGGCCTACAGTGTCCCATTTTTCTCAACAGCGTTTATACACAATCCGTTTTTCACAATATTTTGTACATTTTTCTAGCTCAAGCTTTAAAATAAAAGTAAATGGGGATTTATACATCTGCGGCAGACCCTGCACACGTGGCCTACGCCGGTGTGAGCATTTATACTTGTGCAGTGGTGTGTCTGTGTCACTCTGCAGTTACACCTCCAAAATACTGGTTGGCAGCGGGGTTTCTGTGAAGTGCTGTAAAGTTTAGTTGATTCAAAACACGCATTAAACACACATTAAACATGACTTAATAGAGACAGTTTCAACACAAGTACACAAATCAGCTTCACTATAACTCGCAGCATTCACAGACAAACACTTGTCTTTATCTGGACACATTTTCCCCACAAATACAACATGCTAATGTTATTATGGCATTTACATTGTATAAATTAGCCTAGCAGCTAGCAGACTTTTCCTCTACTCATATGAAGCCAGGGACAACAGCAACATTTAACAAAGGTAACGTTACAAAATTCAGCTCCATTACAACTCACAAGGTTTACTGACAAAACAACTGTCTTATACTAAACACGTTTTCTAAACAAATACAACATGCTAACGTTATTAGCACAAGCCTATGGCATTTTACATTGTATAAATTAGCCTAGCAGCTAGCAGACTTTTCCTCTACTCATATGAAGCCAGGATAAATCACACACAAGACTTAAAATGCTATTTTTGTTATTGTTTCTTATCTGTAAAATTAAAGTAAATAAAAGCTTTGTTTCCACTGAGGGAATTATTGGAGGATCAATTTAAAACCGTTTGTGAGTTGTGGCTTTCCTGTTACTTGCCAAAAGTATCTTTAATAAATATTTATCTTCGTGTGGGACAGTTTCAGGTATTTTTCCTAAGTATAATGTAGAAAATGAGAAGTCTAAATCCATTCCAATTGTTAGTTTAACTGAAACTTTGACAGTCTTTCTGTCTGACTTTCATTCCTCCAATTTCTTTAAAGCCTTTTTCTCAATCAGTTTCTTACTGTGAGCGATGTTGTTTTACATAAACACACAACTCTCAGTGCAGCAGTCAGGTTAATGAATATTTGAATCAAACTCTGATAACAATACTGACAGTCAAACTTATTTCAAACACAGCCCTTAACTTGGTCTCTGTTGTTAATTATAGCCCACTTAATCATGAACATACTTAATTTTTAGTTTGTAGACATTTGAGTGCCGTCTGTGATGTTTTTTGGAGCTGCCACTTCAGCAGTCTGTTGTGTTTTTCTGACAGTTTCACCTTTATGCACAGATGTCTTCAAATAAAGAAAATCTGTGTCAGTGGTCTGGGAGGTAAAATAGTTTTTGAGCTGCAGTGATGTCTGATCCATAGCAACACATAAAGATATTAAAGCAAAAAGGGTACGAAAACACGAGGCAACAATACAGTGTTTGATCTGTAGCTGTTTAAAGCCGTAGTTCCTCATTACCAACACAGGGAGGCAGTGTTGTCTGAAAATGATCTCCAGCTTTACCAGCCTCAACATTACAGTGATAAACACATTATTGCATCAGTGATTATAATCCAGTGATATAATATACATTATTCTGCATGACTACTTTTACTTTTGGTATTGTAATCATCAAGTAAAATTTTGAGTGCAGTAACAGAGTATGTCTACATTATAGTTTTGCTATTTTTACTGAAGTAAAAGGTCTGAATACTTCCACTGCCCATATGTCAGCATGGTGCTATTTTCTGCAAATTTAAAGAGTTACTTTTCAACCTGGATCCTGTTTCCCCATGTTTTTGTGTCTAAGTTACTTATTAGGGACAACTATATTTGATATTGGGCCAAGTCCCAGTGTCTTTAAACGAGTACATTGGACATAGGAGTCTTAAGATGTGGTCTTGTTTTGTTATACAGTGTGCCAGTAAACCCGGAACTCCGTTAGCGCTTTTAGCACACCGGTTCTCTCGTCTAAAAGTCAATACGTTTTTTGAATGGGATTTTGGTAAAATGCCTCAAATAAGGTCTGTGGTTAACAAAAGCTTAAGCGAGTTTCAGGTTTTGTTCTACGACATAAAACACGTCAGTATATACCCTACTTGTGAATTTTGAAGCTTTTACGTGTCGTAAAAAAGGCGGTTGCTAACAAGTTGCTCAAGACTACAAACCCTGTCGGGGACATTAAACGTCATCACCCCCGAACAGGCGAGAGTGCTGGCAGTCCACCATTACAGCTTCTTATTTAGCTTAAACAGTCCGATTTCCCCATTATACAATGTTTTTAAAATAAAGTGGCCGAAATCAGTTGAAAGCTTAGTGGCGGTGACGCCAAGAGTCATGCGACCGTGGAGTAGTCATGTAGTCTGTTAAAGCCTAATGTTAGCTTTTTTCTTCTGGCGATTGCATTTAAGCTTCAAATGCAGTATGAAAGGTGTTCATATGTGAAGATTATCTCGCTGAACAAAACCTGTAAGTATCATAAACTTGTGTTAGCCACAGAGCTTATTTTCTGACATAATCCAAAACACAATGCAAAAATCACATTCACTTTCTCTTCCGGGAACCAGCGTGATGCTAAACTTCCGGGTTTTGACGTCAGCCCTGGCACACTATATTGGGAGCCAGAATAGACGGCGTCATGGCTCAAAACCAGCCGCCACTGCCCGTCAACAAAAACAAAGATGGTTAAATGTGATAAGACCAAAGGACTGGACGGAGGCCATCATCAAAAATGCTCACATGTGCAGCGCACCCTTCATATCAGGTTAGGGAAAAAGTATTTCCTGTTGTAGGGATGAATAACGTTATGTGTATTAAGGGTTATCATGTCCACCTCATCAGACACTGGGGAGGGATTAAGAGGAATATTGGATTTCCGTGGAATACTAACTTTTTAGCGCATTAGCTAACATTATTTTCCATAGCAAAACAAACAAGTGTCGTCCTCCTTTGTAAAATTGGCTTCCTGTGACATCATCCATCCACTGAGTGAGAGCATACAGGTCGGCCAGTCTGGTCCCGTTGGTCAGTGTTTACTTATTCAAGTAGCACTTGCAGTCCCGGAGAGTGAGTGACCTGACGTGGTGCGTTGTTAAATTCAGTCTGACACTCTACACTAAAATGAGAGCCCTGTTGGTCAAAGAAACGGAGCGTTATATTTCCATATGAATTAACAAGCGGTTATTAATGATACATTCACTCAGCTTGGCATTCTGCCAATCTGAGAGTGCGGCACTCTGGATAACCGAACAACCCATTCAGACAGCACTATGAATTTATGAACAGTCCAGTTTGTACACTCGAAACTAATATTTCCGAACGCACCTCTCACATCATCTTCCTCCATTGTCTAAAACAAGCCAACAGAACTTGCCAACTAGCGCTAACTACTGTCTGTGGAGAATTGTTTTGCCTCCAGCGAAGCCCCGCCCACCCAAAAACGCCATACTTTTACTAGCAGTAAAAGGGTCTGTGGGCTTCAGGTTGAAAATGCTGAAGTTACCCTTTAACTGTAGAAAATTAGTAATGCAAAAAAATGCCAAAGAGATGTTTGAGGTCATATAAAAACTTTATTGCGAAAACTTTAAGTCACCCTCCTTTGGTAAGTTATTTGTGGCACTATCCACACTCCATACACTGTGGCGCGCTCACATGGGCACTTTCCACACCCCATAATTTTGGACTTCTACTAGAAAACTCCCTCTGCCTCCGACTTTACTTCATACTCACACACAGAGACACACACACTCTTAACACACTCTCTCAGCTGCAGGACGCAACAAACATCATCGATAAGACGTGTTGTCAATGTTCCTCACTAGGATATGTTGCTCGTTATCTACTTTGTAACAGCTCTGGGTGAGTTTGTGTTTTTATTTTTTACAGCTTTGTGTTAATGTGAGAACTTAGTGTCAGCAGGCAGGATGGAGAATAATCTGCTGGAGCTGCCAAAACAGTTCCTTCTCACTTCTGCAGCAACACATGTAACGAGATCCATATGGAAACCATTATTCATTAGATTTACCAGGGATTGTAGTGTTTTATAAGATGGGGGAAAGTAAAGCTGCTGCAGGACAGTCAGATAATTAAATCCAACTTTTTACCGCTCACTCTTTGTATCTGCAGAGAGTCCATGTGATTTTGATTTAACAGAACTAACCGCAAACATGCTTTCCTTCTGAGCTGTGCAATTAAAATCAAAGCAGCTGCAGTGATTAGACACAGCAGATCTGTTTTATTGGAGACTCAGGACTTTCACTAACATCTGTATCCCTCCCTGCAGCCCTGTGGTGTCCCGTCAGGGCGCAGCAGCTGCCGGAGTTCGCGGATGTTTGCACCGAGGGCAGCTGCTACCCCGCCACAGGTGACCTGCTCATCGGCCGCGCGCACAAGCTCACCGCCTCCTCCACCTGCGGCCTGAAGCAGCCGGAGCGCTTCTGCATCGTCGGACACCTGGAGGTAAGAAAACTCTCTCAGCTTGTGACCAGTCATGTAACTCAGAGCCTCATGGGTGACTAAGTTTTTGTACATTATCTTATCTAGAAGATAAAGTTAATAAAGCAGTTTTTATCCATATAAATATGTAACATGCGCCTTTATCAAAGCATAACATTCATAGGTAAATTTGTTCTGGTGATCCTGGACTCTGCTGAAGAAGTAAACAAGCAGTGGTAAAATGTAACTGAGTACATTTACTGTACTTACCGTAAAACTCAATCCTTAAATCACTGAAATCAACAGGCCTGTATTTGGGACAGGCCTTTAATTCCTTTCACACAAAACTGTCAGGAAGATCAGGAAATACAAACTTTTATTTAAACCAGTATAATTATTATTTGTTTAAAAATTAGGCTTCATCTAGCTAGACAGACAAAGAGCAATTTACGGGGATAATGGCACCGAGCATACCGACACAACACCACTTTGTCCTGTTAAAACAACACTCACAACTTGGATTAACTTTTATGAAAACCCCTTTTGATTCTTTTGATCTGAGGACCCTTACAGACTAAAGGAATATGAATAACTTGCAGGGTAATCAAGGCATGGACACGTAATTTAAGGCACAAAGAACTTCTATAAGTTTAAGTTAAGTTTTTTAAGTTTAAATTTAAAATCTTTAATCTGACTTTCTCCTTGACTGCTGTAACACTGGAATTTCTCAATTATGGGATCAATAAAGGTGTATCTTATCTTATCTTATCTTATCTTATCTTATCTTATCTTATCTTATAACCAGAGCAGGCCTCTAATTGAGACAGGCCTTTATTTGGCAAAATGTGTAGCTACACTGGGCTGGTAAAAGGGACTGGGTGTTCAATTGGGACCAGGCTTTTAATTGAAGTTTTAGGGTAAGTACTAACTTGACGTACTTGTTTTTTACTTAATTGTTTTCTTTTGATGCCACTTAAGAATTCTACTCCACTGCATTTAAGTAAGGGATAATGTATAGTGAGCCTGTGACGGTTGAAAAATAACTCCCGACAGGGGAATGGAACCCAGTCTTTTAGCACGTTGGTGGCCCATGCTGTGTTCTTCTTTGTGTTTTTTCGTGTCTGTCCACTTCAGTCTGGTCAATCTCAGAGTCTTCTAGTTGTTTGTGCCGGTTTGCTCCTGACGACCCTGCAATTTTCTCTTCCTTTTTTATTTTTTTTCTGGGGACATGTCATTGTTTAGCCAAACATCAAGCGTTTTGTCCTCTCCAAAAAAAAGTGATGCCCTGAAAATGCTGCATTTTGCCACTGCGATCCTGTTTGGCCTGTGTGGACTAACGTCAACTGATTTTGAAGCTCCTCAGTCTAAGGCCGTTGCTATGGCGTCCCTAGCAACGGAGCAGCAGAGCAGCGGTGATACCTCAAGAAATAAATACCGCAGAATTTTGTTGATTGACCAATCAGAATTAAGTATTTAAGAGCGCCATATTCTAAGATGGAAATATAAGCCATGTTTCCATCAGCCTGTTTAGATGCGCATCTACAAGTATCGCATCGGAAAATTATGATGGAAACGCCAAAATTCAAATTAAAATCCCCTGATTCGCACACACTAAAATACGCTCGCTTTAGCCGGGTTTTGGTTGATTCGAAAAAATGCTGATTCGCAAAACGGGGGATGGAAACAGTTATGTTCGAATTAAGTCTGACGTAGTGCACCTCTCTCCATGGTGATATCCACACTCCGGGTCGGGAAGGCGGTAGTGCATTTACAAGCTGGTTGCCAACCGCCAGAAAACGTAGAAGAAGAAGAATGCGAGACTTGTTTTGTTTCCGGTTCTGCTGAAAACTTTCGCTTGTTTGTAGTTTTCACCAAAGTCCGTTCATTTAATGGAAACACACAGGATTCATATTTCTTTTAATGCGCATTTCCCAATGATTCAAATCACTTTTGGATGGAAACATAGCTATTGTAATTCTTACTTCACTACAAGTGCACTCTTTTTTTTTTTTTACTAATAAAATTATTATTACAATTAATAAATTACGTTTGTTTCATTAACGTGTTTTCGTCTGCTGGCAATTTATTTTAAGAAGTTGGTCAAAATTAACTTTTTTGAGCAGGATGGAATTCAAATAAATAAGTTAGATTATCTTACATAAAATAATTTGACCACTAAACATAAACACAACTTTTGGATAAACATTAAGTTGGTTTTAACTTAATTAAGTTTATCAAGGTCAAAGCAAATCATGTTGGTTATACTAAACTAACTTTGTCAGATTTTAAAAGACTCGTAGGATTGACTCAATAATACCTGAGCTGGAACTACTTAAAGATTCATGCGGATTGTTTTTGTCAAGTTAAGTCTGACTGTTTTGTTATTAAACTAACCAACAGTTAATACCAGTACATCTAAAACTGACTGACAGAAAATTACCTGGCAACTATTTTGATAAACATTTAAGTTGTCTTTTCGTTTTTGGGTGTTCTTTTGTTTTTGTTAGATTTTTTTCTGCATTGAGAACCTTTGCTTTTAAAACTTTAAGCGCATTTTAATGATGACAGTACTGAATTTTTTTTTTATTATTATTCTTTATTGGTTTGTCTAAGAAGCAGAGTGAGCTCTGTTGTGTCCTTGAACTTGCACTTGCACTGTTGTTTGATACAGCAGCTACACACAGTGAACGTTTCTTCGGAGCGTTCTTTGGTTCTGCGTTTGTCTTTGTCTTCAGAGGGCAAGCATGCAAACTTTATTTTTATGTACAAAACTTTCAAACACAGCAGTTACAAGGTGTTTTATAGGAATAAAAAGGTGGTGAGAGAAGAGAAGACAATGTATGGAACAAGTAATAAACAACTGTTAGTTAAAATTGTAAATCAAGGCAAAGAATGAAGAAATGATTTCATATATTATTGTATGGAAAGAACTTTTCATCCATTGGGATCATCACGATCATACAACATGTATGAAATGCATCTCATGTCATTGTAAGACAGAGAAAGAGACTCTCAGTGGTCACAAAAACAAGTAGATATATAAACTTATCATTTCCTAATGTTATAACATCACATTAAAGGAACATTTACTATCAATACAACATTTTGAGACCAGAAATATGTTCATTACACAGAAAATTGTAAAGTAAAATTAAATATTTCCTCACATTGTTTACTGTTTCCTTTCAGGTAAAGCCTAAAACATTCCCCGCTTTCATGATGTTCAAAGTTCAAAGTCTTTCCACTCACTGTCAGTCAGCAGACTGTATATACTGAACATATGCTCTCAGCAAAACTATTAGGCATGCATTACCACCACCCTGTGCATACGGTATACAGTGACCATCTAATCCTCACATATATAGTTCTGGTGTCCTGTTTATGTTGTTAATATTTGTTTATTCTGTATCCTCACTGATATTTACCCTGCGGTACAAACATCCTGTTGCGAAGACTTAAGAGCAGAAACATCTTTAACAAAGGCATTTTATACTGACTGATTGTATCAGCAGCACTGTTTTGTACAGTTCATGGCATTTTAATGACCGTGACTTGTTGCTCACAAATTCTTGCCATAGGAAAGGGCGGATGATGTCATAAGCCATTAATCCCTCATTATATTTAAGAGTCTGTCCGGCATATAGTGGTATGATTTTAATGACAACATATGGTTTAAGCCTCCACAACTGCTTGTTTTCTACTCATTATCTTTTACTTTGGTTGTATGAAAACCCAACATAAGTCTGTGTTACTAAACAAGGCTGCAGCTACTGATGATTTTCATCTTGTTCGTCATTATTGTCTTGCAAGATTTGCTGAGGCCAAAGTGACTGACATCTTCATATTTGTTTCATTATTTTTTTGTCCGATCAACAGCCCAGACCCCTAAAGATGTTTACTTTACTGTTCAATAAGACGAAGAAAAAAACAGTTAATCCTCACATTTGAGAAGTCAGTGTTTGGTATTTTTTAATTTCCTTTGGTGGATGTGTTCTCTGGACCTGCCTGAACACTATTCTGAAGAAATTCTTAGTATCAGTGAAACTGCTGAAAGTTTTTCTTATTATATTATACTTAGTCTTAGAGGAAAAAAACACAGCCTGACAAAACACAGACCACTGACGACCTCTCTTCAAAACCAATGAACAACAAAACTGGTTGTGATTTAGCAAATCATTGGTGTGTTTCCAACAACTTTATAGGCTCCAAAAGTGTGTGTATTGTGGCAACTCATTGCAGCACAAAAAGTGGTTGTTTATTACCTAGACATTGCTGCAATCCTGCCAGGATAGTGACATGAAAAGAGCTTGTTTTTTACTGGGAAGTTGCTGCCTTTCATCTGCGATACTGGCAAAAGAACTGATTGTTTTAACTGGAAACATTGCTGCATTTCCTGCGAGGACTGTCCCACAGATGGGGTTGTTTTTTCCAGGACATTGTCATGTTTCCAGTTGGGATCCTGATGAAAAGCTGTACATTTTTACTGAGAAGTTGCTGGCTTTTTAGCTGGGATACTTGCAGGAAAAGCTGTTGTTTTGACCAGGACATTGCTGCGTTTCCAGCCAAGACAGTGCCACAGAAAGCGTTTGTTTTTTACCAGGAGGTCATTGTGTTTCCAGCCAGGATTCTGAAATGAAAAGTGTTTGTTTTTACTAGGATATAGCTAGGTTTCCTGCAAGCATACTGCTGCGATATCGCTTTGTTTGCAGCTGGGATGGTGCCACAAAAAGCAGTATATTGTTATTGAGAAGTTGCTGCTTTTTGTAGTTGGGATACCGGCAGGAAAAGTGGTTGTTTTTGACCAGGACTTTGCTGCATTTCCAGCCAAGATACTGGCACAAAAGCAGTTCTTTTTACTGAGGTATTGCTGTGTTTCCTGCCAGGATAGTGCCACAAATAGCAGTTGTCTTTTACTGAGATGTCGCTGCATTTCCAGCTGGGATGTTGATATGAAAAGCAATTGTATTTTACCAGGATGTCATTGCGTTTCCAGCTGGGATACTGACATTAAAAGCGATTGTTTTTATTGGGATATCGCTGTGTTTCCTGCAAGGATACTGCCACAAAAAGTGTCCGTCTTTTACCAATACATCGCTGCGTTTCCTACCAGGACAGTGCCTCAAACATTGGAAGCTTTTTTTCCAAGATATTGCTGCGTTTCCAGCTGAGATTGTGCCACGAAAAGCTATATATTTTTACCGAGAAGTTGCTTTTCTAGTCCAGATACTGTCAGGTAAAGCGGTTGTTTTTGATGGAGACATCGCTGTGTTTCCTGCTGGGACAGTGCCTCAAAATGTGGCAACTTTTTTCCAAGATATCGCTACATTTCCAGCTGAGATTGTGCCACGAAAAGCAGCTGTTTTTTACCTAGAAGTTGCTACTTTTTTAGCTGGGATACTGGCAGGAAAAGCAGTTGTTTCTGATTGGGACATCACTGTTTTTTCTGCAAGGATAGTGCCACAAGATGCAGTTGTTTTTACAGAGATTTCGCTGCTTTCCCATCGGGGATTGTGCCTCTAAAACTGGGCATTAAAAGCCAAAACGTGATATATTTCTGACCATAACCGCATGGTTTTCTGCCTAAAGCTAACAATGCATTAACCACAGCGTTAACCATTTTTCGTGTGATCTAAAACCTTCAAAGTTGTCCTGTTAGACAACAACAAGTTTGTCTGTACCAGATTTTAAGACCTTAGAGCGACCAGAACAAATACGTAATTTTTTCTTCTCATACTAAATAAAGTTTTTGGGCACAAGTGAGTTAAGAATTGACTCAAACAATAAACTGATTATCTAAATCAATAAACTAATCATTTAACTGACTGATAGTTTCAGCTCTACATCATGTATGGGAGCATGCACATGTACAGTATCTGCTCGCTGTCTTGTGGAGTGGGAGTTCAGACATTCCTCTCCACAATAAAAGCGCTGTGTGCCTCACAATCCCCTCCCTGTGTGCCTGTGGACTGGGGGCGAGGTCGGGGGATATTCTCTTTTTATCAAACACCCCGTGGCGAGTTTTGCTGTGTGAATGGTGTCCTTATGAAATGACACACTGCGGGGCCTTTGCTGAGCTTCCTGAGGATGAGCGCAGTCCTAAAGTATGAGCTGCGTGATGGTGATGAAGGGGGAGGAAGTGAGCCTAAAGTAGAAGACATTTGTGCTAAGTGGAGCCACTTAGAGAGACTCGGCTCACATTTCAACACAGACATAGTTGGCAGGGGCTCCGTGAAATTGAGAAACTCATCTTGTTTATTCACACGCTGCAATACTGTGAGATTTAAGAGTGTGTGTGTGTGTGTGTGTGTGTGAACCAGAGTGTAGCCTGTGTCCATGCCAAAGCATCTGGTGTGCAGGCGAAGCTCCTGCTGATGACAGTGAGTACATTAGTAAACAGCCCCGCCATGTCCTTAATTCACTTTCTCTGGATCTCTCTGTCATTACTCACTATGTGGCCAAAAGTATGTAGACACCTCAAACTTACACCCACATGATTACTGAACACGCATTACAAAACTACAGACTGTCATCTGTTGCTGTAACAGTCTCCATTCCGTCAGGGAAAAGCATTACACAAGGTTTTGGAGCCTGGCTGCAGAGATTTACTCCCAGACCAACACTTCATCCAAAGCGTGCTGGGTGGGGGGAGGTGGGGGACAGAGATGTTCTTCCAAAACAAACTGGGAAACTGTTTCTTTCTCAGGTGCTGTCACTGCTGTCTAAAATATCATTGTGTGCTGTTGCATTAAGATAAAGAACCCCAAACCGTTACTGTTCCTCTATCTAACGTTCAGTTGACACTAAAGCAGTTTGATTCAGTCCATTAAAAATAGTAAGTTTTTGTCCTGTAAGTTTCTTCTCTCTTCCCTCATCAAAACGAGAGAGCAGGAGGAGGTAGAGTGTACGGCCCGAGCCAACAGGGGAGAGTTCAGTCCGCACAGACGTCTCTCCTTGGCTCCTTCTTACTTTCCTATCTACCTTTGCTCTTTCCTACATTTCTATCCATCTAACCTTAACCTTTTGGCTCCCACTCGGACCCCCAGATTGTGCTATTACTCCCACTCAGAGTCGCAAGTATGTGCATCAAGGGATTGTAACATCTAGTCCTAAAGTGAAATAGCTGATTATTCAATGAGTGGATCAAAACAAAATGACTCGGCAACAGTTCTGGGGTCATTTCCTGCCTTCAGGCCGTTGACAGCTGCTGCTCGGACACATTATGTTTTCAGGTTGTTTGTTTGTTTTCGTGAACGTGATATTTCAGAACCACCTCGATGGAATTTCCTCAAATTTGGCACAAACGTCCACAAATATCCAAACATGTTTTTTTGTGTGCCATAAATCAAGAATTCATACACTAATGATGACAAAATTTGACACAAATGTCTGATAGGATGAAACGATAAAGTTATGACATTTTATATCCCAGAGGTCAACTCCACGGTGACATCACGATGCTCTGCAAAAACATTTTTCACACATTTTATAAGCAGAAATACAAGCATTAGGAAGAATGTTGAACCCATTAACCCAAACATCCCTTACCAAATCCTATTGTTCAGATGTACACTTACATGTATACACACACGTATCAAAGGACATCAATTATGAAAGTGAAAATAGGAAATAAGGGGCCGCCACTGACTGAAGAACTTCGCAGTTGAACCCCGCAGTGAGAACTTAATCTTCTCCAGGTCTGGGAAAAACATTGTATCTCACAACTAAGTGGCACTAGAAGGTTTCTGGTTTCCATAGGGGGAGTCGTCTCCTGCGAGCTATTAGGGAAGTGAATGAAATTACTTTTGCTTGTTTCTCCGAGACATGATTATTTTCTTCAGGAGTACCAAAAATGGCGATCATTGGGGATGGCTCGATGCAAAACCACTTTTCTGGTCGCTACTCAACGTCATATCTCAGAAACAGAAGGGGGGACATTTGGTCAGATACTGAATTGGTGACTCTAATGTTTGGTCAACACCTTGAAACTGTGCTGATTGTATAGATCGTTTGTGCTGCCATGTCTGAAGCATGTAAGTTGTATGCATGTAAGAATTTGTAGCTTCTTTGCAGCAACATGCTACTGATCTTCTCTCACTGTGTGACGCAGGAAAACCATTTCAGAACCACGACCAAAGATGTCACCATCTTCAGTTTGATTGAAGAGCACCTGATTTTTTACAAACTTTTTTAACAATCTTTACATTTTTACCTTTTGGCTTCTCTCCTGACCCAGATTGCAGCACTCCCACTGCTTTGTGTCAACATGTTTCTTTCATGTTGGTCATCTTTTGTCTGGGACAGCTCAGAATCGCAGCATGTACTGGGTGTAAAGTGTGACCTCTTAGTAGCAGCACCATCTTTAAAAAGTGTATAGTAAACACAGCATTTGTCTGTTCCCCGCTACCGAAACTGAGCTTTTTGTTTTCTCAGTATTAGTCTGCAAAAATGGCCCAAAATAAAGTCAGTTTTGTTCAGGATGTTGAATTTTATTTTGTAATTGTCTTAACAAAACCTTTGCAGACCAGGGGGCCTGAGCAACAGCGTGTATGGCTTAATAGGTAGAGCCTGCTGTGTCATAGTGAATCCTTTCTGAAGTTTTCTTTGGACCAACTTTCTATTGAAACTGCTGATATCCTGTTTCATGGATTAACCAGAGTAACAAAGAGAATATCATTCACCACTGTGTTGTATTCACTGTATTCAGGTGGTGGCAGACGTTTCAAAACCTGCTAAACTCTCAGAGTAACTGACTCTCTGTGCTCTGTGTCTAACAGGAGGATACAAAATGTTTCATGTGCGACTCCAGAGAGATGTTCGACGAGGACACCAACCAGGTCAGCCACACCATCGAGAACGTGGTCACCACCTTCGCCCACAACCGCCTGAAGACCTGGTGGCAGTCGGAGAACGGTGAGAGGCGGAAAACATGCGTGAGAAAAGTGTTTGTTGTTGAATTAAAGAGGCAGAGCTCCTGCTGAGCACTCCTGGTGTGAAATGAATGAACAGCAGCTGAAAGCGTGTGAGCTGTGACTGACGCTGTTCTCATGAGAGCTCAGCTCAGTAATGAGTAGACAGGAGATCACAGGGCCTCTCACTGCAGCCAATCACAGCGGGCCTGGGGAGCGGGGCATACAGGTGAGCTGAGGAGAACAGGTGTGCAGCTAAGAAACAGATGTGTGTCATCAGTTGAACACACAGGTGTTCAAAGTGGGGAAGAAGGGAAGTGTGTAATGAGACAGCGGAGGATCAGAGAGAGAAGAAACAGTCAGTGGTGGAGGAAGTATTCAGATACTTAAGTAAAAGTACATTACCACATCATAAAATACTCCAAGTCCTGTACTTTTCCCCCTTAAAGGGTCCTTTTGGGGGAGTTTTTCCTTATCTGCTGTGAGGGTCCAAGGACAGAGGAATGTCGTATGCTTTAAAGCCCTCTGAGGCAAACTGTGATTTGTGATATTGGGCTTTATAAATAAAATTGAATAAGAGCATATATGATTAGATTTTTATTGCTAATTCATTGACGTTTAAGCAGCATTTTATTCTTGTAGTTTGTTGAGATGGACTCCTCTGTCTAGGGCTTCAACTTATGGTTATTTTCATTATGGATTATCAACAGAAAAGATGTTGGCACTTTATGTTTCTGCAAACCACAGATAAATTACATTTGCACGTCATGATGTACAGTAGCAGATCCGCTGAAACTTTGTGTTTAACAATGCTGTGGTTAACGCGTGGTACCGTTTAGGCATAAAAATCACTTGGTTATGGTTTGAAAAAGATTGTGTTTTGAATTAAAATATCTGGTTTTTGGGGCACGGTATCTAGTGATGTGTCAGTGAAAAACAGCTGCATTTCGTGCCACTTTCCCCAAGCTACAATAGCAAAGGGATCGCTGAAAAACACTCACGTTTGGCGCCTAAAAGGCCGCTGGTTACAGCGATGACTGGCTAAAAACATCCAGTTTTGTTGTGGGCGGCTGTGGCTCAGAGGTAGAGCACGTCGTCTACTAATTGGAAGCTTGGCAGCTCCGTCCCCGGCTCCTCCAGTGCGCATGTCAGAGTATCCTTGAGCAGCTTGAATCCCAAGATGAAATGTACAAATGTAACGTATCCTGGTTTGCAGAAATGTACAATGCCAAAAATGTTTTCTCGCCATTGGGCCTGGATTATTTTCTGGATCAAGTCATTTATTGTTTGGTAAAATGTAAAAAAAAAAAAAAAAAAAGTGAGAAATGTCTGTTATCAAGCAAACAGCAATAAGTGACAACTTCAAATGTCTTTTGTCCGATCAGCAGTCCAAACCTCAGTATTATTCAGTTTTATTTAAGATGAGAAAAAGCAGCAAATTTTCGTATTTCAGGGGCAAAACCATTAGGTCTTTGGCATTTTTATGATAAAAGATTTATTCAGTTTGATGGTTTTATACAAACTGTTCCACCGTCTGCTCAAAAACTAAATATGTTGCTGTATTTTAAGGGACTAAAGTCACTAGTCTAGCCTGTTTCAACACCAATGGATGCCAGACTCAGTTACCTCAGTTATTCACACTCACATCTTTAATTTGAGCCCTGAAAGAAATCTTGTTACAGTAAAACAGTTCCCACACAGACGGACAAACCCTGCCCTCTTTCCTCCCACATTCACGCTGCTACTCTGTTTCCCTCTGAGTTGTGGGAATCTGTCCGAGGTGTGAGTCATGGAGGGAGCAGTGCAGATGGCTTTGAAACATCAGGAAGCTGCAGACACACAATGGCTTTGCTTGGGATTTCCTAATTCCCTCGCAGTAGTCCTCCGGCTCCATCTTGGCTTTCGGAGCCGGCCGCACCAGCTGTTCAGTTTAAACTGAGCCTAAAGTTAGTGTTTGTGAAGTGGATAAGTACAAACTACTACAGACTGTTTCTTACATAGAGATTAGATGTTACTAAATATTTACTCATGTATCAAACTGACAGAGCTAATGTTAGCTGATTTAGCATTAGCTGTCTCTCAGCTCTTTTCTAGGGCCTTGTTATTTCTGTTTCTCTGGTGTCCACTGCAAATCCACTAAATATATACAGTCTGTGGGCAACACACATGAGAGACGCATCAAGAGGTGCAGTGTAGCCAATCACAGGCAGAGTACGGCGGGTCTTGCCAAGGAAAGCTAATAGTGAAGCAGCACGCAGGGTAAACTGAAGGGTTAGTATGTATATATGTTAGTATGGTTAATACTTTTATCCAGACCTCCACAGAAGAACAGTCCGCTGCACTTCAAAGCTTTTCTTGCTCGGAATTTTTGTGGATGCTACCACGCTACTCAGTTAATTAATCAGCTTTGTTACTGAAAAGCCATTCATCTCAGAAAGTAGTGACGTTACCACACCACCGAGAAATGTAGTGCTACCAATAGTGACACTACTGCCCAAATAAACCCTTAATTCACCCAGTTAAATGCAGAAATACGGTGGCTCTCACATGCTAAAATGGAGTCTGGTGGGTTTGGTGATGGCGATTTCAGGGCTGTTCCTGGTTAAACATAAAGAATCTTGTTCTATCTCTGTCGGGATCCTTTCCATAATTTTGTCAGACTCTTACAGTATCAATCTGAGCCTGTCAGCGGCAAAAACAAGAACCTTTAGTGGACGTAAATTGACATTGCACAAATGCCCTGAATGGTTATGTTGCCATCTGTTTAAGCTGTCAGCTGCAGCGCTCTCACTCAATACTGGACTAATTTCAAAAAATGTCATTCCCCCTTACTGTACGTTCAGACCAGAAGCTTCCAAAGAGGCAAAGTCTCTCGTGGATGCCCAAGAAGCACGACTGTCAAAAATATTTGTGGCAGCTTTGGTCGCTGTAGTCGCTCATCACGTGAATCATTGATCGTTCGATTGTGCAGCCGTAACTGTACGTTCACACCAAAAGCTGCCAGAGGAGCAAAATCGCTGAATTCGCTCTAGCAGCGCCGCTGGTAAAATGTTAGTGGCAGTGAAAGCAGCTCAAGTCGCTCATGACGTCAAATTCTGAATGTTCGATTATGCTTCTCAATTTAAAGGAGCCGCAAAGCAGGTTACTGGCTGGAGCACAGAAATGTGACTTTGTGCATTTGCCTGAGTACAGAAACTTTAACATTTGGACAATGAAAACAGGATAAAAATCTAAATAGGTCTGACATTAAACATTAAACACACACAGCCTGTGTTGCGTTCAGGCGTTGTCACGTAAATAACAAATTCCAGTACCTGAACACTCCGTAGCACAACACAGCAGCATGTGAAGTGGGCCGAACCCGAACCGAATATGGGCAACATTTTTAGATGTTAGAAGCTCATAGTTGGCCTACAGGAAGTTATGTTTGGTCAATGAAAACAGAAAACAAATGTCATCCCATTCAAACTCCGCTGCGGTTGGTTTGTTCGCCCAAGACGTGCGGCTGACGACCAGGTCGCCCAAGTCATTGAAAATGAATGATTTCCGCTGCTTAGGAAGCTCTGGTCGCTGTTGGTGTGAACGTGCAGATAGTCACTTCGACACAAAAACATGGGCAAACAGGATCCAGGTTGAAAAATACAGAAGTTACCCTTAAGATTTAATGTTGCAAACTAAATGTAGTAAATAAGTAGATTAAAACCACATGTACATGTACACGCAGTGAGGAGCTTAGGAGAAACTGCTGCAACAAAATCCAGAACCAGAGCCTGAGATTGATTAGTTTCATGTGTGAATGCTTGAGATGCCTCAGCTGCATAAACACATGCAGAAAGAATCCATAAATATTTGAAAGAAATAATGCTTATGTGTGTGAGAAAGTCTGTGTGGAGTGCGTTGACAGTTTTATGAATGGGAATCAGCTGAGAGAAAGATTTAATTGTTAATTTCCTGTGTGTTTTCTTTCCGCTGTAGGTGTGGAGAATGTGACCATCCAGCTGGACCTGGACGCTGAATTTCACTTCACACACCTTATCATGACCTTCAAGGTGCCTGTTCTCTCTCTCACACACACACACACACACACACACACACTCCCACACCCACGCAGATAAACACAATGTCGGACAGCTGTGGTGGAGGAATGTGGAAAATCGTTCTGGTCTCTGGAGGACGGTGGGAAGCGAAGGAGGAGATGAGTTTGAGGATGTGCAGTAAGAAAAAAGCTGCTCGTCTCTCATTGCTTTCACATGGTCGGCCATGACGGCAGCCAGTTGGCTTCGTGCCCTTAGCTTTACATCATAGTCAAAACACACACTCAGAGACACACTTCCCATGTGTATCCTGTCCCATCCTGTTTTAGGACTAGATGGCAGAGAGGATCAACACCTCCAACACCCTCCACCCTCTCAGGAATATCACCCCTTTATATTCAAGTCATGTTTATTATTTTAGTGTCCAAACCTTTAAGAGGAAAACATCAAATATAAACAGGATATATGGATCAAAAATGGCAGGAAAATGGAGTATTTGATACCTCTGTAGTTTGATTTTATGTCTTCGCACCAGCAATGGCCGTGACCAGAGGCATTATGTTTCCAGGTTGTCCGTCCGTCCCTTTCGTTCATTCTCATGAACGTGATATCTCAAGAACACCTTGAGGGGAATTGTTTCACATTTGGCACAAACATGTACCGATTAGATTTTGGTGTTCAAAGGTCAAAGTTACTGTTCATTTTTAAAAACTGTCTAACAGTAGCCCCTTTTACACTGCCAGATTTTCCGCGAATGTTGGGCTGTTTTGCCAGCAAACTGGAGCATTTAGACACACACAGCGAGTTGATCCGAGGTGCCTAATTTTCCGCCTCGTAGGGTAGTCATATTGGCGGAACCCTTTTGGTTTAAACAGACCGAGGCGTCCTTCCGCCACGGGAGGGGCTGTTGATGACTTGTGGGAGGAGCTGTTGATGACGCCGCACGTGCGACCCACTGGCGGTGAATTTACAGGAAACAGCTGATAGCAGGAATTAGCGAGCAGCTAGTAGCAAGAGGGAAACACAAACCTGACAGACACTGTAAAGGTGAGCAACTGGGGAGACAAGGAGTTGCGCGCCCTCCTTGTCCTCGCAAACAAAGAGGCCATTAACCGTCAGATGACGGGGACGGTGAAGAACGGGTCGACTTACGAGGGAATCGCCAAAGGACTGACCAGCCGCTGCTTCCCTCCCACGTTACTGTTTTCGTCACACGCTTAGCTACACGTTTTGTTACTTGCTCACGCCCCCCATTGCCCTGAAAAATACTGTTTTTATGCTGCCAATGCTGAAAGAAGAATGATTGGGTTTTCCTGCAAATTTGCACAATTCCTGTTTATAAAGGGCTAGTCTAATATCGGAGTCTGAAGATGGCGGACTGGCAGTATCTAAAACTTCGGACATCCAGGGCGGTGGCTTAGTGGATAGAGCAGGCGTCCCATGTACAAGGCTGTTGCCGCAGCGGCCCGGGTTCGATCCCAGCTTGTGGTCCTTTGCTGCATGTCATTGCCTCTCTCTCTCCCCATTTCACCACCTCTTAACCTTCCTATCAATTAAAGGCAAAACATGCCCCAAAAAAATCTCTTAAAAAAAAAAAAAAAAAACTTCAGACATTCTGGATATTATTCATGATGACATTCACATACTGATAATTTTCCATGGCAGTTGCTGAAGGTCAAAGTTCAAGGTCACAGTGACCTCATATGACGTGTTTTTCGCCATAACTCAGGAATTCATACACTGATTATGTCAAAATTTCATACAAATGTCTAACAGGGTAAAATGATGAAGTGATGACACTTTATATCCAAAAGGTCAAAAGTAAACTTCACTGTGACATCACAATGTTTGTTCATCGTCATACCTCAGGATCCGAAGGGGAGACATTTGGTCAGATACTGAATTGGTGACACTAATCTTGGGTGTAAAGATCTTCTGTGCTGCCGGGGGAGAAGATGTGCGTGAAGCATCCATGTTTTCACAGACATGGTTATAAACTGTAACTGCAACTTGACTTGTGCGCAGATGCGTACAGCTGTGAGGCGGTAAATCTAGTTTTCCTGATTTTTTACACAGAAATTTGCGTGTGAAATGATAACAGAGGGAATACAAGTAACAACTCTGTCAAGTTAATAAGACAGAAGTAGCTCAAGAATATTTGATTTTCAGGATGAGTCACAGAAAGACATTTGAATGTGAGAGAAGATACAGATTTGATATCTGTTCCTTGTGAAAAATAGTTAAAAATGTACTTTATACATTGGAAAAAGTTCTTAAAACTTGATTTAAGCAGAAGATGAGTATAAAGATCTGAGATGCAAGGTGATTGTTGGTTATCTATTGGATAACCTAAGTTTTATCTAATCTCATACGTGGGAGATAAACTTAGGTTATTTGCTACGGTGGCGACAAATTATGGCCAACATTGCATGCAAAAAACCCTTATTTTTCACTTTATGTCTAAGGGTTTTTGTAAATTACCTTTAGAATTAAGGGATTTTTGGAAGAACCTGGATGGAAAACAAAATGAAAAAACACCATCAGAGATATTCTGACATCTGATATTACAAGAAAATGCAGGTTTTGCTGAAAACCCTGATTATTTAACATTTCAGTGATTTTTTCTTCTGTCTCTGTCGACAGACGTTTCGGCCGGCTGCCATGGTGATCGAGCGGTCCATGAACTTTGGGAAGTCGTGGCAGGTGTATCGCTACTTTGCCTACGACTGCGAGTTGTCCTTCCCTGGTGTGTCCACCGGGCCAATGGCCAAAGTGGACGAAATCATCTGCGACACCCGTTACTCAGACATCGAACCATCCACCGAGGGAGAGGTGAGTATTTTTTAGCTTATATTTACATTAAGGGTTTTTCTATTGATAAGAGTGTCACCAGTCATGTTCATTTCAAACTGTGACCTAGCTGTCTTTTAATTTTGTCTGTTTCAGGTGATATTTCGGGTGCTGGACCCCGTCTTCCACATTGAGGACCCCTACAGCCTGAGGATACAGAGTAAGATGCTCAGTTCTTTGGCAGCTTTGAAAACTGTTATGTCTCCTTAAAACGAAGCGATGTCTGTAGGTGGCCTCACACCAGTGAGTTGTGATCAGCTGGTCATCTTACCTTCTCAGATTAAACACATGAATTGAACACCTACCTGGAGCAGAGTTTCAGGGGTCGGAGTTTGGACAGGAAGAGCACTGCACGGAATTTCACATGTGGGAACGACTCACAGTCTGTGCAGTCACCTACATCCAGACTGAGAAAAACACACACACACACACACACACACACACACACACACAGAGGCAGAGGCCTCATGTTAAGTATGTGGTGAATGCTGTGGGTGTGTGGGGAACAGCGGCGGTGATGTCTTTGAAGTCTGAAAGTCAGTGAGAATCTATCCAGACTGTGGATATCTTTGGAGGCGATCTCCCTTTATTCCTGAGAAAACAAAACAAAATCAGCAGCTAAACAGCTCTAAAACACGGAAATTACTACAAGAGCAGTGTCGCTTACCTCCCCCACCAGCACAACAGCAAAAGAGGAGAAGTAAGGCAGGAGACGCCCCTTTATAGGTGGGGTACCCCCAAAGGTGAACGCAGAGGAACAGAAACTGAGTAGCAAATGTTCCACTTATCAACTATGATAAGTGCAAATACTTAATATTTACAATTACTGCTGTATAACTGACCCTGTTACAGATATACTTAACGCTCTTTATTTCCTGTGTGTGTGCAGACATGTTGAAGATCACGAACCTCCGGGTGAAGTTCATCAAGCTCCACACGCTGGGCGACAACCTGCTCGACTCGCGTGACGAGGTGACGGAGAAGTACTACTACGCCCTCTACGACATGGTCGTCCGCGGCAACTGCTTCTGCTACGGTCACGCCTCTGAGTGCGCCCCGATCGATGGAGCATCAGCGGGAGCTGAGGGCATGGTACAACTGAAAACATACTCACAGAAACAGATTGGAGAATATAAAACATACAAGCTTCAATCTTAATTTTAATTTGACATTAATTCATTCAGATTTCTTTCTGGGCACTTTAAGGACTCTAGAGTAAATGTTGCACAACTTTTAAGGACTAGAAGTCTCTAAAGTGCTCCAAAAAATGGGACTTTGAATATCTCCAATTTCATGACAACTGGGTAACTCCCATCTGCTGATGAAGATCATGTGGTATGATTGAAAGCTCTAGAACTGGGACTGGATCCTAATTCTAACTGTGTCTGGTAGTAGAAATGGTGTTCATTTATTATTTTGTGTGTGTGTGTAGGTCCATGGCCGCTGTGTGTGTAATCACAACACTGAGGGACTGAACTGTGAACGCTGCCAAGACTTTTACCAGGATTCGCCTTGGAGACCTGCAGAGGGACGAAACACCCACGCCTGCAAGAGTAAGAACACAAACATTAAGACAGAGTAAACTTTTATGCATTTTGGGAAGCTTATTTGTTTTCTTGACAAAAGTTTGATGGTGAGATTAACCCCCCTCTCATGTCTGCACATACAGTATGGAGCTCCTGTGGAGTCAGCAGGTTAGCTTAGCTAATGCTAATGCATAGTTTATGTTACTTAGCATAAAGCCTGTGCGGTTTACTAAGCTAGCGAGTGGTTTTCACCCTCCTTTCAGTTTTCATTAGCCTGATATCAGACAGAATTATCAACTCATTACTCTCTGTTTCCTTGGTGGAGTGACTGGGTTCAAAGGTCCCTGGCAAAGTCTTGGAGTGTGTCTCAAATCGCACACTTCAGTACACTTAAATGTAGTACTCTATAATTTCAACGAGGCAGTGTTATCCTAAATTGCACATTGCACTTACTGGAATTGACGACGGCCTCTTTCTTTAAACTGCCTCTTCTTCCTCTCCATCTTCTTTTTAAATGGGAATTTGCAAACAAACAGTGGAGCACTGTTGCCACCATTTGACCGCTATCTCCACACATAAACCAAACTTAGTCACAACGTCAAAGCTGATTAAATTGTGCCGCTGTAGCTAGGAGCAAGTTAGCTAGCCAGCGCTCGTAACCAACTATGTTACGAACGTGGACTGACTAGCTAACATTACGTAACGTTAACAGAAAATCCTGCATAGTATACCTTTAAATTTATTTGGTTGTTGGAGTGGGATTTGATTTTTTTGGCATTTTTCCCTTTTTTTTTAAGATTTTGTATGCTTACCAATTAAACAATGTTGAAACAATACTTAGTTGCAGCCATATACTGTATAACACAGATGAAAACAATAAAATAGACTATGCTAGGCTATGCTAGGCTAGGCTAGGACAGGACAGACTAGGCTAGGATAGGTTAGGCTAGGCTAGGTAAGGATAGGATAGGCTAGGCTAGACTATGCTAGGCTAGGATAGGATAGGATAGACTAGGATAGGTAAGGGTAGGCTAGGCTAGGCTAGGATAGGTTAGGCTAGGCTAGGCAAGGATAGGATAGGCTAGGCTATTATGGGATAGGCTAGACTATGCTTGGCTTGGCTAGGCTATGCTAGGATAGGATGAGATAAGATAGGCTTGGCTAGACTATGTTTTGTTAGGCTAGGATTGGATAGGGTTGGCTAGGATAGAATAAAATAGGCTAGGGTAGGCTAGGATAGGATAAAATAGGGTAGGCTATACTAGGCTAGGTTAGGATAAAATAGGCTAGGCTAAGCTAGGCTAGGATAGGATCAAATAGGCTAGGCTAAGCTAGGCTAAAATAGGATAAAATAGGCTAGGCTAAGCTAGGCTAGGATAGGATTAAATAGGCTAGGATTGGATTGGATTGAATAGGATAGGATAGGTTAGCATAGAATAAAATAGACTAGGCTAGGATATGATAGGAAGGGATGGGCTAGGATAGGCTTTATTGTCCCAGTTGGAAATTTGCCTTTGACATGACAATGTCTGCAGTATGAAATCAAAGCAACACAACAGTAAAAAACAACAAATACATTAATCTATCGACTGCAAATGCCCAAAATCACAGCACAACAACACAGACAATAAATAAATACTCATTATAAGACTATGCAAATCCGATTCTACCAGTCTCAGTCAATCTCACTTTCTTTCTCAGAGTGTGAATGTAACCATCACTCCACATCGTGCCACTTCGACCTTGCTGTTTACATGACGACTGGCAACAGGAGCGGAGGCGTGTGTGAAGACTGTCAGCACAACACTGTGGGCCGACAGTGCGAGCAGTGTGCACCTTTCTACTACCAGCACCCAAACCGAGACCTCAGGGACCCCAACGTCTGTGAGCGTAAGTCACCTCTACGTAACCCCTGTTCTCCACTGAGTCTTCACGGTCCACTCTACTCATCACACCAGCAGTCTGTTAAAATGTTGGTGTCCTCCTCCAGGACATGTTTCTGTCTCAGACAAGCACCATCTGGAGCTGCTGCCTTTGAAGTGAGAAGCAGAAAGTAGCTGTTGTCATCATGATTGTAATTAGCTGCCGAGTGCTGGGTACAAGTGGAAGTAGTGCAGTAAAATGAAATACAACCTCCCCCTCTCTTTTCCTCTGTGCAAGACTCAACTTTTAAATTACACACTGCTTCTGCAGATCGTGTCCGTTCTCACTCACAAATAACTTACTGCTGAAGTAATGTTACTACAAGATAAGCTAATGTTTTTTAGCATCATGTGAGGAAATCCCCTCATTCATCACTTTGTTACAGAGCAAGATATCTCAACAATTACGCACCAGATAGAAATCTGCTGTGTATATCTGTGATTCCTGGAGGTGTTTGTTGAGGCTCCAGTCTTTTCTGTTGCTCCACCATCAGGCCAGCTTCTTTCACTTTTACACAACAGCTATCACAATCTACTGGGCAGGTTTCCGTGTAATTTGGTAAGCACAACCTTTCAGTTTTGGATACTCTAACTTTTCCTCCAGTGCCACCCTTGGGCCAAAAGTTCCCCTTTTCAGATTAGAAAATGTTTGAAAGATTGCCATGAAATTCACTGAGCACATTTATGCTTTCAATCTTTGCTCCAGTGCCAAAGATAAGGCTGAAATGTCTCTTAAAGGGATACTTTGCTGATTTTCAACCAGCTCTGTATCATAACAATGTGGGTAGTCTGTGTAAAGGAACTGAGGTAAACTTCCCTCCATTTTACCAGCGCTCAGATCTCCCTGCTCATCTCTCAGCTCCAATCCTGCAACTGTAATTAGAGGTTGTTTGTGACCAGCCAGCCATCATATTGTTTCCTGTGTCAAAACAGACAAGCTTGCATTACATCACCCACTAGCGGGAGTGTTGATTGGCTGGTGCGGCGCAGTGTACTCTTTAGCAAAAGGCTGTGTTTTAAATTGTAAAATTCAATTGCGGTGCATGTTGCAATATTTTTAAACATTATTATGAGCATTCAATGTTTCCTACAGAATTAGGATGTGATGGTGGAAGGGTGGATGGGAGGAGGGCAGCAACAGCTGATCACCGACAATCAGCTGATGCTGCCGTTCAAAGCAGCACTGAAAGATTGCCTGCTTGATGCAGGACTTGGCCTACATTGGGGGAACACTCTACCGGTTGCCCCCCACACCAACACTTTTTGAAAGAGCCGATTTTATCCCCATCTCCTTATTAAAAGCATAATTTGGAAATGTTTAAATGTTTAAAATGTTCTGAAAAAAAGCCTGCACCAAGAAATGTTAGCTAGAAAATTGAGAACACTTAAAGAAAGGTTTATTTTCATATTAAGAAAACATACAATACAATATAAATGTAGTAGAATTAAATATGCTTTGTCCAACAAAAGTAACGTTCATCACTGATTCTGAAACGACTCAAAAACTTGCAGCACTGATGAGTAACTTAACAAATTCTTATTGTTTCTTCCTGTCCAAGCAAGACAAGCATGACAACACATATGACCTTTTAAAGTCCACAGCTTTGTAAGTAAAAATATAAATAAACCACCTTAGATTGGTGCATAAAGTGTTTGATGGTCAAACAGAGGACACCCAGAGACCCCCCACACTTCACATAGTATACCTCACCCCCCAGTGTTGAAACAAAACCTATGCACATGTCCTAATGTTGTGTTTTCATGTCTCCACAGCGTGTAACTGTGACCCAACCGGGTCTCTGGAGGGTGGACTGTGTGATTCGCACACCGACGTGGCAGCCGGGATGATCTCAGGCCAGTGTCGGTGCAAAGCCAATGTGGAGGGTGAGCGCTGTGACCACTGCCGGCAGGGACACCACGGACTGGGACAGGGGCCTGATGGCTGCCTGGGTAAGTCCATTAAAGTTTACATACATTTATATTTTGCAATATTTGTTATTGTTTTGCTTAAGAAAACCAAAGTAGTTGTTCCCAGTTTGCTGTAGCCTGAGTGTCAGACTGAAGCTCCCAGAACCTTCAGTCTGACATGGCTTCCATTGAAGGCGATTTACAAGGGGGAGGGAATTTGATTTTTCCCTAACCAATCAGTAGAGATCAACGACTCACCCAGAATCTGACGTCATTAGTATCCATGCCTCGGGGGTGCCGAAAACAAGCGAGCATTGCCCGTTTAAAATGTCTCCGTCGTCGTGCACGCCCAGCTGCATCGCCGTTAAATCCAGTTTAGCAGCTTCCTTAATTTGGTCCTCCATTAACGCGAGTAGTGGCGAAATACCTCGATAGCATCGTTAATGTGGTCTGTAGGATCTGTAGCGGTCGCCATTGTTGCTATCCTCACCAGTTACCCACCGGCGTACAGCTTGACATCAGCGTGGCGCTGATTGGCTAATCGCTAGACCCGCCCCCACCCCCGGCGTTCATTGGTCCATCCATTGTTTGGACAAGATAAATCGCAAATTCATTGCAGTATGCTAGACCAGAGATGCAAGCCTACTCAGTTGAGTGGGCGGGGTCTATGGTCTGGAACCAGGCTAAGTTTGCTGCTCTCTGTGTGAAACTGTTAATGAATAAAATAAGGAAAATTAGTCATTGGATGATGGTTGAATGTTTATGGATAACTACACCCATCATGAAACAAGAATCCTTTAAAATACCATGACTTACTCCTTAATTTACCCCTGAAAACATGGCAAACTTCTTAATCTTAGGTTAATGTGTTGAGTGTGGTAGTCATAGGTCCCTTAATTTGTCCTTTAATTAAAAAAGGCAAAGTCAAAACTTCTTAAACCATGCATATAATCAATTAAATATATACCTTATACGTATGTATTCCAATCCAATAATTATCCCCTTAAAATCCCAAGAAAAATACCTTAATTTCATCATTATTAATGGGTGAATTAATTGAATTCTGTGGTGAAAAGTGAAGAGATTTGATTTCTTTGTGACATCAAGGAATATTTAAAATATACCGTTTTGTTGTTTTTTATTGGAGGACTTAAAATAAAAACTGACACAACCACACAGAGTGCAGATAAACTACAGTCAGGCGGACCGACGCAGTTGAATCTGATGTTTCATTGTTTGCTTGTGTGTTTTGGCAGCTTGTACCTGTAACCCGCTGGGCACTCTGCCCGGAGGAAGCACCTGTGATGCGGACACAGGAAGGTGCTTCTGCAAACGCCTCGTGGACGGACATAAATGTGATCAGTGTCTGGTGCGTAAAAACAACCGTCAGCCTCAATTTAGATATTTCACATCCATATATATATGTGTGTGTATGTGTGTGTGTGTGTGTGTGTGTGTGTGTGTGTGTATGAACAAATGTCTGTTCTCTCCCTTGTAGCCGCAGCACTGGGGTCTGTCCAATGACATGGACGGCTGCAGACCATGTGACTGTGATCAGGGCGGAGCTGTCAACAACAAGTATGTTTAAAGATCTCTTTTATTTAGGTGTAATGTAACTGAGAGTAGGTGTTTCTGTGATGATCTGAAGAATGCAAGGATGAGGCCGATCACGGAGTTCTTTCTTAATGCACGTTTATTACGAGCTCGGATCAACATTTGCTACATGCGAAGCCACGTGATTGATGATACACAGTGGGGGGACACAGCTTATATTCTTAAAATGGTATCACGTGTGCTGTTACCTACATAGCACTGTGCCAAATTTAACTTGGCCTTCAGCCAACTAAAATTAGTCTAATTTGTAGCTCTCCTGGTGGAACATGATCCTCAGGGGTTCTTTGACCAAGTATCCATTGGTCAGTGAAGATGTAAAAATACATACTAACAGTAACTAAGTACATTTACTGAAGTACTGGACTTAAAGGTCCTGTGTGTGAAATTTAGGGGGATTTAGTGGCATCTAGTGGTGAGGATTGCAGATTGCAACCAGCTGAAAGTTCTCCTGGTTAGAATTCCTTCAGCGTTCATTGTTCAGGAGGTTTTCCCAGCGGTATGTCCCAACCCTCACCTATGGTCATGAGCTCTGGGTAGTGACCCAAAGAATGCCATTGCGGATATAAGCGGCAGAAATGAGTTTCCTCCGTGGGGTGGCTGGGCTCAGCCTTAGAGAGAGGGTGAGGAGCTCGGACATCCGGAGGGAGCTCGGAGTAGAGCCGCTGCTCCTTTGCGTCAAAATGGGTCAGTTGAGGTGGTTCTGGCATCTGATCAGGATCTTCCTGGGCGCCTCCTGTTAGAGGTGTTCTGGGCACGTCCCACTGGTAGGAGGCCCCGGGGCAGACCCAGAACACACTGAAGGGATTACATATCTCATCTGGCCTGGGAACGCCTTGGGGTCCCCCAGGAGGACCTGGAAAGTGTTGCTGGGGAGAGGGACGTCTGGAATACGTTGCTCAGCCTGTTGTACTGGCGACCTGGCTTTGGATAAGCCGATGAAAATGGATGGATGGATGAATGGTCGGTTCCTCTCCAAAACAAACAGACTCTGTGATTTAAACCAGTAAAACACTGAATAACAATGTGAAAACACAAATGGTCCTATCTAGAGCCAGCGTTTGGTTTGTCCATTCTGGGCTACTGTAGGACACTTGCAGTATTCACAAAAACAGGCACATCTCTATTTTACTTCTGTACAATTAATAAAAAAAAAGCAGCAAATTAAAATACATGAACAATAAAGGTACTCATTCCATCTCTGTCTCTGCACAGCTGTGACCCTCACACAGGACAGTGTGTGTGCAGGGAGCACATGTTTGGACGACGCTGCGATAAGGTGGAGTCTGGCTTCTATTTCATCTCTCTGGATCACTACACCTACGAGGCAGAGGATGCCACGCACGGACCTGTGAGTGTGTTTATCATTGTACTATGCCAAAAATTTACTCAGACATGTAAATTACAGCTCTGTTGATTTCTTTCTCTCTGTCAGGGTGTGACGGTGGTACCGAGGCCGTACCCTCTGGATCGCAGTCCTACGTGGACCGGTATGGGCTTTGCTAATGTGCCAGAAGGAGCTTACTTAGAGTTCAACATCGACAATGTCCCAGAGTCCATGGACTATGACATCCTTATTCGCTATGAGCCGCAGGTAACTGGATTCGTCTTTATACGTTAGGCAATTATTCTTTTCAATGAAGTTGTCAGACACTTAGAAAAGTCTCCCGAGTGAAATCGAGATCACATGGGACGCCATAACCAAGTGGCTGGCATAGTGTACAGGAACATCTGCACTGAGTATGGGCTGGAAGTCCCAAGGTCAGAATGGAAGACACCTCCTAAGGTGGCTGAGAATGACTGAGCTAAGATCCTTTGGGACTTCCAGATCCAGACTGACAAACTGGTGATGGCTAACCAACCGGACATTGTGTTGATGGACAAACAATGGAAGACGGCAGTGGTGATAGATGTAGCAATCCAAAGCGATGGCAACATCAGGAAGAAGGAACGCAAGCAGCTCGAAAAATACCAAGGGCTGAAAGAGGAGCTAGAAAACATGTGGGGAGTAAAGTCAACAGTGGTGCCAATATGGACCAGTGTCAGACATTGTTGTCCCCATTAGTCACTATGACACAAAAACATGGAAAATTAGGGTCAAGGTCTGAAATTTTCAAAAGTTAACCTTCAAGAATAAAAATAATGTGTCTGTGTGTGTTTGCAGCTGCCAGAGCAGTGGGAGAAGGTGAACGTCCGAGTGCAGCGTCCCGTTTTCAACCCTCCAGACTACTCCGCTCACTGCAGCAACTCCATCCAGAGTGGAGACGAGCAGTCCATCTCTCTTCCACCTGGATCCAGGTAAAAACCTGAGTTCACTTTACTGTGTCTGTGTGGTGACACATTCACTGCCACACACTGACCGACCGTCTGTTGTGTTTCAGACACGTGTTGCTGGTGAGGCCGGTGTGTTTCGAGGAAGGACTGAACTATACCGTCCGTCTCACTCTGCCTCTCTACTCGTCAGCCAGTGAAATCCAGAGCCCGTACACACTCATCGACTCTGTATGTTGAGTTTCATTCCTTAACCCCAAACTTATCTTAAAGGACCTGTTCTCCTGTCGGTCTTTTTAACTACTAAGAGATAAAACTATAGATGCTACAATCAGCCATGATTGCTTATTTGGTGCCTTAACCATCTAAAATAACTCCCTCCACTCTGTTACTCCACTCCTTCAAACCTGTGTTTTCATTATGGTTTCCCTTCCCCCGACCCCTCGTCTATCTTGTCCACCTCCTTGTCTCCTTATAGTTGGTGCTGATGCCTCGGGTCAGGGAGCTGGACATGTTCCATGGGGTCGATGGTGAGGGAGCGTGGGATACGTTCCAGCGCTACCGTTGTCTGGAGAGCAGCCAGAGTGTCGTCAAAAGCCCCTTGACCGACATCTGTAACGACTACATCTTCAGCGTCTCTGCTCTGCTGCACAAAGGAGCCATGGGTGTGTAGTTTAGTGTGTGTAATGTGTGTTTGTACAGAGGCATTTTCTTATTAGAGGTCCAGTGTGAAGGATTCAGGAAGATGTATTGGCAGACTATGTCTTCATTAATCTATAATCACCTGAAACTAAGAATCATTGTGTTTTCATTACCTTAAAATGAGCTGTTTATATCTGCATATGGAGCGGGTCCTCTTCCGTGGAGTCCGCCATGTTGTTTCACAGTAGCCCAGAGTGGACAAATCAAACACTGGCTCTAGATAGCACCATTCATTTTTTCTCGTTGGCAACTGTAGTTCTCCTACACCAGGAGTCGGCAACCTTTACTGTCAAAAGAGACATTTTTGGCCAAAAATGATTTAAAAAATCTTGTGTGAAGCCACAAAACATATTTGAGCCTTATAATGAAGGCAATATTATTAGCATATTATATTGAAATTAGCCGATACTCATAGTCTTAGCATGAGATGGGCACTATTTATGATTATTTGGTGATTTATCTTTACAGAGCTGACAGTAAAAGCAAACAAATCTGTCCACACACTTCCAAATTCTCTATTTTATTACGAGACTTTCACTTTTTTGGATTTGGCTTCCATAGCTAACCAGCTAGGAAGACTCAAGACCAGCCACTGCTATCGAAGTTTGGCAAAATTTGGATGAAAGGTGCCAGGCAGCAGATGTATTACACATATTTTAGTTGTTGAAATGTGAAGGAAAAAAACTAGTCATTTCCATATAATTTGTTCGTCAAAGCCACAGGGAGCCACTGGAGAGGGGCTCCAGAGCCACAGGTTGCAATCTGTTATCTCACCATCAGATGGCACTAAATCCTTTACACTCGACCTTTAACTCGATTTCTTCTTGAAAAATTATCAATTGAAAGATAAAAAAGAGCTCTTTTTAATTATTTCTATCCAGTTTCTTTGTTTTACTGGACTTTTACTTTTGTTTATTTGGTTTTCTGTCTATTATTCACAGGTACACTACAACTAATGAATGTTATTAGTATTATTTCAAGTATTCTAACAATAGATTGGTCGATAAAATGTCAGAAGTGAGTGAAAATTGTCCATCACCATTTCTTCAAGCCCAAAGTGACATCTTTAAATCATCCAACCAAAAGTCCAAAACCCACAGATGATTTTTACTGTCACTTGTGTCAAAGAAAAGCAGCACAGAACTGGAACTCACTGATTATTAAAGTAGTCGCTGATTATTTCCTTCTGACAATTAACTAATTGTTTCAGCTCTAACATCAGTGGTGCCTTGTTTAATATGTCAGATGCCACCAAATTTGACATTGATGACACTCTGAAAAAAAACCCTTTGCTTGCCTGACGTTGAACCCAGAGCAAACATAATATAATCACAGATATTTGTATTTATTGACTTACCTAAAGGAGGAGTTAATCATTCATCGGGGAGGATATAATCACTGCTCTGCATACTTCTATTTTACTTGTAAAATTTATATGAGATTTTAAAATTTAAAATATCCTAGATAAACTTACTCATCCTGTTGTTTTAATTATTGTACAATAGAAATTTCTCATAACATAAATCTCCATGTTTCTGTACCTTGTCTTCCCTCCCAGCATGCCAGTGTGACCCTCAGGGTTCACTCAGCACCGTGTGTGAGTCCAGTGGAGGTCAGTGCCGGTGTCGACCCAACGTTGTTGGCAGAAACTGTGAGCACTGTGCCCCGGCTACGTACCTGTTCAGCCCCTCTGGCTGCAGATGTAAGTGTCTGACGTAAATGTAGTTTGATGTTTATTTAACTCAGAAACAGGAAGTGTAATGACTCAAACTTCACCCTCAGCTTGTGACTGTGACCCACGGGGCGCGGTCACTTCTTTCTGCCACGAGGCGACGGGTCAGTGCGAGTGTGTTCCAGGGGCCACAGGGCGCCAGTGTTCCCACTGCCTGCAGGGCTTCTGGGGCTTCCCTCAGTGCCGACCGTGCCACTGTAACGGCCACAGTGAGTACTGCCACCCTCAGACCGGAGAGTGTCAGGGCTGCAGGGACTTCACCACCGGACACCACTGTGAGAGGTATGCCCCACAAAGCTGAGTCAGAAGGATTAAAGTCAAAGCATCTCCCAAATTGACCTTTCTTTACCTCCAGGTGTTTGGATGGTTACCATGGTGACCCAGAGCTGGGCTCAGGTAGCCACTGCCGCCCCTGTATGTGCCCCGATGGGCCGCGCAGTGGACGCCAGTTTTCTGACAGCTGTTACCTTCTGGCTAACACGAACCAGCTGGTGTGTGTGTGCAGCGCCGGCTACAAAGGTATAGAAACACACACGGAGCATCTCACAGTACTTAGGAATAACAGATTTGTTTTTATGTAAGCAGCTTTTTTAATTGCTCAAAGCATCACATGTTTGCGTATGTCATCGCATCTTCACATCAAACCCAAACATCACCTCAGGTCCCCTCTAATTAACCCGCTGAACTTAAAAAAACATGAGTTCACTTCCTGTTTCCTGTCCTCGTCCAGGTGCCAGGTGTGATGAGTGCGCTCCTGGTTATTTCGGGAACCCTCTGGTGCCTGGTGGGCGCTGCATGCCCTGCCAGTGTAACGGCAACATCGACATGCACGACCCCGGGTCCTGTGACGCTCGGACAGGTGCCTGTCTCAAGTGCCTGTACCACACTGAGGGCTACGGGTGTCAGCACTGCAGACAGGGTTACTACGGCGTTGCTGCGACTCAGAGCTGCAGGAGTGAGTACAGATGTTTATGTGACACTGTGACTTACTGTATGTACGGGTATATACATGTATACATGATTTAGCATGTCTGATATGAATTTAATTTCTATATCAATACAAATTTAACACTTTCGCCTCAGACTAAGAAAGAGGGTTCCTAGTTTTTAGGGTGGGGGAGCCCTTCTGTGTGGAGTTTGCATGTTCTCCCCGTGTCAGTGTGGGTTTCCTCCCGGTACTCCAGCTTCCTCCCACAGTCCAAAGACATGCAGGTTAATTGGTGACTCTAAATTGTCCGTAGGTGTGGATGTGAGTGTGAATGGTTGTCTGTCTCTATGTGTCAGCCCTGTGATAGTCTGACGACCTGTCCAGGGTGAACCCCGCCTCTCACCCAGTGTCAGCTGGGATAGGCTCCAGCCCCCCCGCGTGTCTTTGGACTGTGGGAGGAAGCCGCAAACTCCAGACAGAGAGGCTCCACTACCCTGGGTTTGCACCAGGAACCCTCTTGTTGTTTGTTTAAGTTTGAAAATCTTGAAAAATTCTGCTGTGTTCCTGTAAATATAAAGATAAATCACACAAACTACTTTCACCAGTCTTACCCCAAAGACGCAGCTATAACCTGAACCTCTTCCCTCCCCTGTGCAGAGTGCATGTGTTACTCAGTGGGCACCTCACCTCGGGCCTGTTCGTCCCCTGATGAGTGTCAGTGTGACCAGCACAGCGGTCAGTGTCCCTGCCAGCCCAACGTGGTCGGTCAGAACTGCGACCGCTGTGCCCCTGATACGTGGAACATTGCCAGCGGGATGGGCTGCCAGCGCTGCGACTGCGACCCCGTCCACTCCTTTGGATCCTCCTGCAACGAGGTGAGTCAGATGCTGCGATGAAATCCAGGAGCCGTATCCACTCGCCAACATCCAACATCTGTCTGCATCATTTCCTGCATTAGCATCGCAGCAGCTGCTCCGGTTTGCTCTCCCACGTTATGATGTATAGTTGAACTGAATCCCAGCGCTGCACCGCAAACTCTCGTCTCTCAATGAAATGCTGTTTCCAGGTTTCCTTACACAATGCTGTGGCTGGTTGGGATGCTTTCCAAACAATTCTCACTGAGAATAAAGCTGCAGGGCGGCAGTAAGTCACTGTGACCAACCTGTCTAATCACCGAGTGTTTGTGTAGTTTTTTTTTTATATACAGACTCCAGCTGTTTGGGAATTGCTTTTCTTTGCAGCTCTGTTTTACCCACACTCACAGATCTGCATGTGAATCCACAGAAACGTGCACGTACAGAGGAGAGTAGTGTGCACACACTCACACACACAAACATTTGGGTTTCTGTGTTTACTGGCTGCTTTCCATCAGAGGAAGGAAGTCTCAGAATACACTGTGGAATAACTGAATACACATTTCTGTAAGAGGAGCGAGTTGTATCTAACTACAAAGGTCCATTGTGTCTGAATGGGAAAGAAAAGACTTGAAACAAACCACATTAGTCCGGAACTTTAACAATTTAAGACACAAATCCTCCATCTATGTTTTATTTTTCTAACCCGTACACCCACTGTCTGATAATATTTTGCTGACCTGATGTTATTTGTGTTTTGGTGTTCCCGCAGGTCACAGGACAGTGCTTGTGCAAACCCGGTTTTGGTGGGAAGACGTGTCGAGAGTGCAGGGAGCTCTTCTGGGGGAATCCAGAGGTCAAATGTCACGGTGGGTCGCATATATATACATGGAAAAAAGTTTCCCAACACACAAGGGAGGTTCATGAGTCTGTTCTGACACATCTATTACTTCAGTTTATTTTATATGGATATTTAATATCTGAAAGTTGTGTTTGCAGCTTGTTTCCGCTGCCCTCCAGTGGACAAGTCAGTTCATAGAGGTTTAAATATGTGGTTACAAATTCTCTCCTTTGTAATGGGGCATATTTCAAGAAAGCAGAATTCAGAAATCCAGGCCAACGGATAAAGCGAGGCTTGACCTGGTCTAGTTGGTGCTTTGTGGCTTTGTGCGTTTCATGTTGCGACCAGGTGAAGCCACGTGACCATGAAGTCAATCACAGATTCACTGATGCTGAAATGGAGACGCATGCTGCATGATTTACACTCAGTAAGCACCAGCTAATAATGGAAGCATACGAAGAAGCAAAGCATGTCATATATATATAAAAAAGGAAACAGCAGCTTTAATAAAACAACGAGAAAAAGCATGTAGACCAGCTGAATGCATTATAGGTTGCATATTAAAATGATGTATTTTCTTGCATCATTTATCTTTGTAAAGTAATTTCTTGCAACGATTAAGTTTGCCTTTACTACACCGAAGTAAACTCAGGCAACATGACTGTATCACATGACAGACGGCCGGTCTGACCCGGCGGCTCTCATATCTCTGACAACGTTGCAGAAAACTTTCCAAACAGCCATTATTTTCATAAATTGACCACATATTGGGAATCTAAAGAGTTGAAGAGAATTTAAAGAGATAATTTGGAGTTTTTGAAGTGGTGTTGTGTGAAGTACGTATCCATAGTACGATATTACAAACAGTATGTGGCCGTCAGAACGCCCCTAGTTTGGAGAAGCAGGCAGGAGTACCAACATGGAAGCTAAGTAATGCACTGCTGTGGAAGGGGGCAGCAGCAAAACGTATTTTAGCCACTGAAAAATTCCAACGACGAAGCCATTAAAGGCTTCAGTTCCTCATCTATGCTCTCGTCAAAGCCACCAGACTAATTGAAGCCCGCTGAACACGGAAGCTGCTGGTCTACGGCTGACTTGATGAGTTAGTGAGTTCATGTTATCGTCTGACTTTGGTGACTCTAAACCAACCATTTAAAACATCAGCTGAATGCGTAAGTAGCCTCAAAAGGTTATAAGAGGCCCTGTCTGGTGTGAAAAATTGCCCTTATCACCTTTGCAACTTTATCTGCCATCTCTAATTATCTCAACAACTGCAATAAAATAATAATAATTATCTTTATTTCTAAAGCGCTTTTCAAATCAGAGTTACAAAGTGCTTTACATGTCAATAATTACAACAGAAAAGACATGAAAACAAAAACTTTTAAAAGCACTGATAGTGTTAAAAACTGAGGAAATAGAAGACATTTTAAATGAACTTAAAACTTAAAGGAACTTAAAGGTTCTCCGATAAAAGTATGTTTTAAGAAGGGACTTAAAAGAGATCACTGAGTCGGCCAACCTGATTTCCTCGAGCAAATTCTTCCAGAGCCTCGGGGCCCTGACAGCAAACGCTCTGTCCCCTTAAGTTTTCAGCCGGGCCTCTGGAACAGACAAAAGGCCTCTGCTGCCCGCGGACCTCAAGGACATAGAGGTCGGAGATATAGCTGGGAGAGAGATCACGAAGAGCCTTAAAAGTAATCGGTAAAATCTTAAAATTAAATCTAGGTATAATATATTCATCTAACCTCTCACAACGGCAACATGTGCCACTGCTTTCATGAAACGGAGTCACGACTAAAGTCAGGCGGGATAACTGGAAAATCTCAGCTTCAATCTCAGTATCTGCTATCTAGGTTTTGTGGAACTGCAGCCAAATTCATTCTGGACCTCAGTTTGTAAAACATATTCATAGTTTGACTGAGGTCAGGGACGAGACATGGCAAGCCAAGAACATGCCACAGTTGGGACAATAAAAACTCCTTATTAGCCTTGTTTGTATGTGTAAGATCTCTGTCCTAACACTGGGGGGTGTAAAGAAGGCCACGAGTCCTTCACTGTTCACCCAATAAGGATGTGAACGCTCCTAAACGCTCCTTTTACACTCATTAGGTCTTTTTTTTTCATGCAAGTGGTTGGAGTTCTCATGAGATGTGATACATGTGTGTGTGCAGCTCATTATGTACAAGGAAACATACCACTGTGACTGTGAAAGGACTTTGGAATGAGTTGGTTACATGTCAGCGGCAGTGAATCAGCGAGCTTGTGTGCAGTTGTCGGTTTCAGTTCCAAAAAGTTTTATTGTGTGCTGAACAAATTGCTGGAGAGTCCATCTGCAGAAATGTGCACCTCACAGTAGCTGGCTCGCCCTCAGAGAAAGAAAGAGGGCGAGGAGAGGAGAGGGGATCTGGGACTGACCTCTTGTTCCCCGCTCATGAGAACCAGATGTTCTCCAGAACTCCCAGGCATCCCATTTTCGTCATGCACCAACGCCCAGAGGACTCTCTTGAATTATTCCTGCTGTATTCCCTAAAGGTCTCCGAAGCTGCTAAATCAGCTGGACCTCACTGCCTCTCCGCACAGATGATACTTATGTGCAAATTCACGGGAAATAATCTGAGCTCCGTGGCCGCCGTACTGAGAAACATGTGGGAGTAATGTGCAGTTATGTGAGAGTGTGTTGATAACGAAGCCTCGTAAAGATGCGGCAGCAGCTGAGAGGTTGTTCTTCTGTCCAGATTTAGACGTCAGAGGTTAAAATGTTTGTCTTGTCGGCATCTTCACGTGAGGTGATTTAAGGGAACCAAACCTGGCGACTGTGTAAAGTATGTGGCTCTTGTATTTGCACGTAATGGCCCTTAATCACCACGTTTGCTCTGACCCTAATGTGCTTTTAAAAACAGGTGTAGTATTTCACCATGACAAAAATGAAACTTCAAACCAAGCCCTCACCTTCTGCTCCATAAATCACACAAATACATGCAGCAGCACTGATGGTGGAAGCCTCTCACACTCTGCATTCCTTCTGTCTGACTTACACCAAACCTCCTCCTCCTCCTTATTGTCGTCTTCTACTCTGTGGAGGGCGGGCAGCCCTGTGGAGTGCCTCGATACTCAGTGGGTCGGTCTGACCTTAAAGGTCACGTTCATGTCTGAGGTTATTTACCGGAGATGGTGGAAGTTGAACAAACTTTCTTTTTAAATGGTTCATTTCCCCGGGAAGATGTAAAAATATTAAGCCATTACACGTCTCATCTAACTGTTTATGGAGTCCTTTAGGCCTTGCTTAAGCTTTAGACAGAAAACAAGTTATATAATCAGGTTATATTGTTCTTCTTTGACTCCTGTGATGCTTAAGTCATAATACATAATGTAAATGTCTCAGATAAGGACAAATACTTAGTATACTTGATGACAGTGACCGCCGACAAAAGCATTTATTTGGATGGCCACTCAAAGCACTTTTACAGTCACATTCACACACACACACACACACACACATGTGGCTGATGCTACCATAAATGGTGCCACCTGCTGCTCGGTAACCATTCACATGCACTCACATATGGCCCATAGCCATTGGGAGCAATTGGGGTTCAGTATCATAGATAAAGGATACTTTGACATGCGGACTGGAGGAGCCAGGGATCACAGCGACGATCATCTGACTAGTAGACAACCTGCTCTACCTCTTACTATACCTTACTGTTTCGCCAGCCAAAGGGGGAGTGAAAGCCAACCCCAGAATGGCATTTCACATCTCTATAGTTGCGTTTTTTTTAGTGCTGTGTCCACAATTTTTGCCAGGAACGTCCTGAACAAAACAGAGAGCAGAGTCCTTGCAGATAAATACACCACCACACATTTCTTGTGGGTCATAATGACTGAAAAAGATGAACTTTTATATGAGTCTATACATTGTTTTTGTGGAAAAAAACTTGCACTGTATAATTTTATGAGAAGGAACAAAGCATGAAATCCAATCACAATCCTCCCCATTACCACTAGCTCCTTAGAACAGCTGAAATATCGTCAATAGGACGGTCCTCCATCGCCTGAATAGTGCAGAAATGACAGATAAGCTGAAAGTCAGGCTCAATATTAAAAGAGAGAAGGAGAGATGACAGAAAGCAACAAGAACAAGACATAATCACAAAGTCTTCAGTTTACTGAAAGCTCAGAAAGTGGCCCCACATCTTTGGGATTTTTTTTCCTGAGTTACCAACTGAGTTGTGGATCTTTTCAAGATAAAGGCAGGAAGTAATGTCTCTGGGACAGTGGGGCAGCATCCCTTCATCTGATAAGAACTGCCTGTCAGGCCAGCAGAGAAGTGAAAGACAGTGTACGGCGTTGCGTCAGAGTCACTTGTACATCATCCTCTCCGGTGGTGCCAAAGAGGGTGACCAGAGGGTTGGATTGCAAGTCAGAGTTGAGGATTTAGGATAAAGTTTTCGGATATTTACCCTCGGTAACAGATGTGCTGCTCGGTTGGGAAGCAGTGGCACTCATTCATAGTGTCAGACACATGGCATTCCTGGAATTTAAGCCCATATTGTATAGAAAGATGTTTCTTGTTTCTTGTTGTAAGTTTTCAGCAGCGTAGACGCATAAATTTGACGTTATTTTGCAATGCGCAACTGTCAGAAAACCAATCCGGTATCAATTAAAGGAGTTGATTTACTCTGACGCATATGATGACGATGGACCATACAATTCTGAACTGGTCCTCAGCTGGAACCAGTTCTCGATTACCATCTGTAGTTAAGTGAATTTAACGTAGAAATTATTCAAAATTGACATTTTACATTATGTTTTGTCTCTAAAACTGCCTGAGGCTTTAGGGGGTATAACTTATATTTACTAACTATATCTCAGTTCCTCTGTATGGCAGATGCCTCTTCCTGGATCCCTGACTTTCTTCTCTGTCTCTTTCCAGCTTGTGATTGTGACCCTCGGGGAATCTCCAGCGAGCAGTGCCATCGTGCGACCGGTCAGTGCACCTGTGTGGAAGGTGTGTCCGGCCCACGGTGTGACGTGTGTGCTAGGGGCTACCAGGGAGAGTTCCCCTTCTGTGAACCCTGCCATAAGTGCTTCGCCGTGTGGGACACCGTGGTCGGCGAGCTGACCAATCAAACTCGACGTCTGGAGGCCCAAGTAACTCAGCTCCAGACCAGTGGGGTGACGGCACCTTATAAAGACTTAGTCAACAGCCTGGAGAGAAACGTCAAAGCTGTCAGAGACATATTGGAGAGCAACCCTGCAGCAGTGAAGCTGGAGCAGATTCAGGAGCTGATGCATCATATCACGTATATTCATAAACAAATAGAGTTCTACAAAGAGATGTAGCAGACACATTTTTGTTTGAGCTCATTACTGTGTTGTCTCTCCAGCGGTGTGATGTCTTACCTCAACGGAAAGCTAAACACAACGGAGGAGACCTTGAACCTTCTTCACAGTGACGCCAATGCCACCGATGCAAACTTGGACACACTGACTGATGAGGCCAACCAGCTGGAGCAGAGTGTCGAGGAGCTGAGGCAGCAGGTGTACAACGCCAAGAATGCCAACATCCAGGGTGAGAAACCACTGCATGAGAGAAACTGTGTGTTTCTAAACATTTAACTGACAGGGAAACCATCAAGTCATCAGCATATTGCTTCACATTTATCCTGTTATACCTATTCTCACCTTGTCTCTAAAAACTGCAGCGCTTTGTTTTTAAAAACTGGGTTACATGGTTGTTAGGTAAGTTCTTCTCCCAAAAAATAACAACAGATTTCAATTAAATGTGGTGGAGAGTTCAGACATGGGAAAACTGATTAGTTTTCGGTGACATTCCACAAATTGGTTTTACATGATTTCTTTGCACTGTAAGATTTGAGCATTAAAAAAAAAAAAAAAAATCTGCTGTTTGTCTCAAACTGACAGCACTTACCTGAAAGAAAAAATCAGATCTATGCTTCTGGATTATAGCTATTTTGATGCAGATCCTGGTCAAGTTGCAGTTTTAAAAAATCTGTCCATGAAATGACAAATAACAGATTGTGCAGCCTGAGCAGGTGTATGCACTTTTAGTATAATAAGTATTATACCTTTGGTGTAACTCTATCAAGATAATAGACGGCATAGAGAGGCTTCTATGTGCCTTAATTTCCAGTTGACCAGAATGAGACTTTATTATGGAAAAAATATGTACCGTTCCAAGAGAAAAATACATTTTTGATCCCGTTGAGTTGTGCCATGAATTACACATACGAGGTTTGCAAGTTTAAAAGATAAATTTGCAAGTCAAAATAGTCACAGTTTGTGGTCATGCTATTTAGTTTTGTGTGAAACTGCTCAATGAACTACATCTCTTGTCTTGCAAAATAAACACCACCAATACCAGTTGGCTAGCAGCTTAGGTTACTTAGCAGTGGTCCATGCACAAATGTAACTCTATCTGACCTGATGTGTTTTACCCAGTGACTCCGGGTCTGTTTATCAGCTGGGAAGTGAAAGCATGACTTGTGTTAGTACATCCCGCTGTGAAACACACAGGCATTGTCGCTTCAGTGAGAAAGAAAGTTAAGACATCACTTACGCAGCGTCGTCTTTCTAATTATGTATTTTCACAGTCGACAGTTTTATGACAACTGCAGCTTTTTTGAGTTTCAACATTATCTTGTAAATTCATCATAACATTATATGTCTAATTCATGGTACAGTTCAAACAGGATCAAAAAATTATTTGTTTCTCACAGTTAACTACTCTATGTGTTTTTTCCAAAATAATACGATCGATCCACATCGATACATCAATTCATTGATTAACAATCCGATTATATCGATGCAAAATGAAAACACTGATCCATATCGTCATCTTAAAGATACACATTTATTTTGAAATTCACATGGCACGTCTGTGTCACCATTTCTGGGCAAGCGCGCCTCCGCTCAAACAACAAACAGAGCTCAGAAATAAAATGATCAAATCATATTCTAGTTGTTTTTGTGAGTTGATGTAAATGATTGTGTTAGATGGGCATATGATATCGCGTCATATCGATCGCAGGCTCCTGAATCGAATCAAAATCGTATCGTGACAGACTTTGTGATATCGGCAAACATTGTATCGTCATCCAAACAAATCGATATGATATCGTATTGTGATGAAGCTGGTGATTTACACCCCTAAAAATAAGGTCCCATGGTTGTCCACTGGAAGGGGAGGGACTTCAGCTCTATGGTCAACGCAGGATTCCTGACATGCTCCTGAAGTGGCTTTTATAACATCGTTTTTCATTGTACAAAAGAGCTGAGTCATGCTGAACCTCTGCTGAAAACCACCAATAACTGACGAGAAATTTTATGCCACTATATTCATGTCAAGTAATCCAGTTTCAAATAGCGTACTGTTGCTGACGTCCCCCCATACATTCACCTCTCACAGTTCCATGATGACGCAGACAGACATCAACCCTTTGTGTTGTTTTCAGGTGCCATGGACACCATCGCAACCGCACACATGCAGTCTACGATGGCAGAGCTCCGTGCCAACATGTCCACCACTGATCCCGGAAGCACAGTGGAGAGCTCAGCAGCAGTACGCAAAGCCACTGAGGACAAATTGGGCAAGGCTCAGAAGGAGTTTGAGCGCAAGCACCAAAGAAACTCACAGAAGCTGGACAAACTGTCCACCGAGCTGGAGAAATATGACCTGTCACCGCTCAGTGAGAAGGTGAGAAAGTAAAGTTTCATCTATATGCTGAATGTTGTTTAATATTTGCTGATTCAATATTCACTTACACTTTTTTTAATCCTCTCCCTGCAGACGTGTGGTGGTGCAGCTGAAGGTGACAACTGCTCTGGCTCCACCTGCGGCGGTCTGGGCTGTGTTGGCGAGGACGGTGCGCCTCAGTGTGGCGGAGAAGGATGCGAAGGCCTCGTCACGACTTCCGAAACTGCTCTCAAATCAGCCAAAGAACTGGACAAGGAGATCCTCGCAGCCATGCAGGAGGTAGACAAGCTCTCCAGGATGGTGAGTGAACATTGTAAACCGATGTAGAATAACTCAAGACACATTTGAGCACGTTGCTAATTTTGTTTGTGATCAGGTGTGGGAGGCCAACAACCGCGCAAATGAGGCCAAGGTGAACGCTATGGAGGTGCTGATCAAATCCAACCGCAGCAAAGAGAGAGTGGAGCAGAGCAACGAGCAGCTCCGCAACCTCATCAAAGAGATTCGAGACCTACTCACCAGTGAGTACTACACAAACAAGTAACCTTAAATCTAGTTTCTGTTGGCAGCTTGAAAAACAAAAATAACTGTTGGACTAAGTCTATTCAGCCTTTCAAAGGGGGAGAAGGAATCAACTATGTTTTTGTCCCTGATAATCCAGATGAAAAGGCAGATGTTTCAGTGATTGAGGCAGTGGCCAATGAGGTGTTGGCTCTGGAGATGCCGACCTCGACAGAGAAGCTGCAGGAGCTGACGAAGGAGATCAAGGAGAAGGTCGGCACTTTGACCAGCGTGGAGACAATCCTCAGTCAGAGCGCTCAGGACATCCAGGCTGCAGAGATGCTGCTGAAGGAGGCCAAGGCTGCCAGGTAATAAGCACACCTCAATTTACCCTTCGCTAAGCCACGCCCCTTTGTGATGGGCCGACAAGCTGTCAGAGTAAGCATGGAGCCTACACTGTAACAAACTGCACTCTCCGAGGAAGTATGATCATATATTTGGAGAAATGAAAGAGTGATTCTAGAGAGAAGCAGACAGAGGGGTCTACAGTCTGTGTTTGAAGGATATATCCAGGATGTCAAACTGACTCAGCAGCAACAACAGGTTAAAAAGACAAAGATAGTTAGAAGCTAAAGCCGAACTATAGGCTACAGATCACAGTGTAAAAGTGAACCACCACATCACTGCACTGTTATAATCATTACAAAGCAAAAGCAGCATGTGTATACATTCAGTAGGCTATATCTTCAGTAGCTAGCTAGCTAACCCTACACTTTTCAGGGTCTGATTTTGGTTTTGGAACAGGGAAGAAACGTATATCTTTTTCCAATCTCTCCAGGTAACGAGTATCATTAATACACGACGTGCCCCAGGCACAACATTTAGCTCCAAATCCACAAAACCAGCCTGAAAATGAAGGAAATCTGAAACGATGGAGCACAGCTGTGTTGTTGTCTGACCCTGGTCTGAGCCGGCCCAATGCTATGTTATGATTGGCCTGTCTGCGTCTGCCTTTAAATCACTGAAAATATTATTCAAACTTTAAAAATTGTGTGAAAGCATATCAGCACTTTGAATGTGTTTGCTCAGCTTGTCTTAACATGATATGTTACTATAAATACAACTCAGTGTATTCACTGTTAACATGATAAACTATCTGTCCATCAGTGAGGTGGCGTCTAACATGAAGGAGACGGCAGATGTAGTGAGGGCAGCCCTGGATGAGACTGAGCGTGCTCAGAGTATCGCCATGGATGCCATCCAACTGGCCCAGAACAACACAAAGGGGACGCTCGACCTGCTGATCTCTGTGAGTTTGACCTGTGACCTCCAAGGTGTCTGTTTTCATGAGAATAAAACTGCCATCAGTTTGTTAGTGTTGGTGTTTTATTAAAATCTGATTCAGTCTCTGATGTGCTGGATATCAGTGATGACTGGTGGATGATTTACCCAAAAGAATTAAAGATTAACTTTGGTATTTTTCAACCTGGACCCATTTTCCCATGTTTATTGGTTTGTCTTTTTTTGTAAAACCTGGCCACAGTTGTGCACATAATCTCTCATATCTTTTTTTTCCCCCAGTAATATCTTTATTGATTTTAACAACAATACACATACACATACATACATCCATTAGTGCAGAGGGTCACTTACATGTCTGATCATTATTTTCAAAATCAAATTGAAGTGAAACCCCTCATTCATAAGCTTTATGTTCTGATGACTGATACAGAAATTTCATTATAGAGCAGTTTTCCATTATCGTCTTCTTTAATACATGTGTTTGTGTGTGTGTGTCAGGTGGAGTCGGAGACGGCCATGTCGGAGCTGAAGCTCGGTAACACCACAGGTCGTCTGGTGCAGCTGGAGAGGGAGGTTGGTTTGCTGAGACAGAACAACCTGGAGGTGAACCGCCTGGCTGAGACAGCTGACTGGACCACTGACCAGGCCAGACAGAACGCTGAGGAAGCCCAGCAGGTCTCTCACACACAGACACACACACACACACACACACACAATTTATTCAACTGTACCTTTTGAAATACCATTTTGGGTAATGTGGAGCAGTTTCTATCAGTCTAACAAGGTGTATTTTCATCTGCTGCTGTCGTCCCACTAGTGATTATTTGTTTATGTGTATGTGTAAAGGAGTTTGACGTGGAGGTGAAAGATAAATTGGTGGAGGTGGAAGACCTGGTGGAGGAAAAAGGGGATTCGGTGCTGCAGGCAAGGAGAAGAGCAGATGAACTGCAGCAGGAGGCCAGAGAACTGATCATGCAGAGCACCAGCAAACTGCAGAGACTCGGAGGTAGCCATGAATGTCAAAATATTTATTCTCCTTTTATTCATTTTTTATTCACATATTTCTGAGATGTTTTATGTATTTTTTAATGAAAATACCACATCATAACTTTTTTAGCGCATTTTTATGGCAGACTGTGCTGTGACTTGTTTTAGTCACATTTTTACATCATGCAATACTATGACCTTTTTGGTCTCATTTTTATGACAAAGTCATAGTATAGTATGTCGTCCAAAATCATGAAAAAAAGTCATAGTATAGTATGTCATCAATAACCATGGAAAAAAAAGGCATAATATAGTATGTCGTCCAAAATCATGAAAAAAGTCATAGTATAGTATGTCGTCAATAACTATGAAAAAAAGTCATAGTAGAGCATGTCGTCCAAAATCATGAAAAAAAATCATAGTATAATATGTCGTCCAAAATTCATGAAAAAAAGGCATAGTATAGTATGTCGTCAATAACTATGAAAAAAAAGTCATAGTATAGTATGTCGTCCAAATTCATGAAAAAAAGTCATAGTATAGTATGTTGTCAATAACTATGAAAAAAAAGTCATAGTATAGTATGTTGTCCAAAAGCATGAAAAAAAGTCATAGTATAGCATGCTGTCCAAAATGATGAAAAAAATTATAGTATAATATGTCGTCCAAAATTCATGAAAAAAAGGCATAGTATAGTTTGTCGTCAATAACTATGAAAAAAAAGTCATAGTATAGTATGTCGTCCAAATTCATGAAAAAAAGTCATAGTATAGTATGTTGTCAATAACTATGAAAAAAAAGTCATAGTATAGTATGTTGTCCAAAAGCATGAAAAAAAGTCATAGTATAGCATGCTGTCCAAAATGATGAAAAAAATTATAGTATAATATGTCGTCCAAAATTCATGAAAAAAAGGCATAGTATAGTTTGTCGTCAATAACTATGAAAAAAAAGTCATAGTATAGTATGTCGTCCAAATTCATGAAAAAAAGTCATAGTATAGTATGTTGTCAATAACTATGAAAAAAAAGTCATAGTATAGTATGTTGTCCAAAAGCATGAAAAAAAGTCATAGTATAGCATGCTGTCCAAAATGATGAAAAAAATTATAGTATAATATGTCGTCCAAAATTCATGAAAAAAAGGCATAGTATAGTTTGTCGTCAATAACTATGAAAAAAAAGTCATAGTATAGTATGTCGTCCAAATTCATGAAAAAAAGTCATAGTATAGTATGTTGTCAATAACTATGAAAAAAAAGTCATAGTATAGTATGTTGTCCAAAAGCATGAAAAAAAGTCATAGTATAGCATGCTGTCCAAAATGATGAAAAAAATTATAGTATAATATGTCGTCCAAAATTCATGAAAAAAAGGCATAGTATAGTTTGTCGTCAATAACTATGAAAAAAAAGTCATAGTATAGTATGTCGTCCAAATTCATGAAAAAAAGTCATAGTATAGTATGTTGTCAATAACTATGAAAAAAAAGTCATAGTATAGTATGTTGTCCAAAAGCATGAAAAAAAGTCATAGTATAGCATGCTGTCCAAAATGATGAAAAAAATTATAGTATAATATGTCGTCCAAAATTCATGAAAAAAAGGCATAGTATAGTTTGTCGTCAATAACTATGAAAAAAAAGTCATAGTATAGTATGTCGTCCAAATTCATGAAAAAAAGTCATAGTATAGTATGTTGTCAATAACTATGAAAAAAAAGTCATAGTATAGTATGTTGTCCAAAAGCATGAAAAAAAGTCATAGTATAGCATGCTGTCCAAAATGATGAAAAAAATTATAGTATAATATGTCGTCCAAAATTCATGAAAAAAAGGCATAGTATAGTTTGTCGTCAATAACTATGAAAAAAAAGTCATAGTATAGTATGTCGTCCAAATTCATGAAAAAAAAGTCATCGTATAATAGCATGTCATCCAAAATGATGAAAAAAGTCATAGTATAGTATGTCGTCCAAAATGATGAAAAAAGTCATAGTATAGTATGTCGTCCCAAATCGTGATAAAAAGTCATAGTATAGTATGTCATCCCAAATCGTGATAAAAAGTCATAGTATAGCATGTCGTCCCAAATCATGAAAAAAAGTCATAGTATAGTATGTCGTCCAAATTAATGAAAAAAAGTCATAGTATAGCATGTCGTCCCAAATCATCATGAAAAAAGGTCATAGTATAGTATGTCGTCCAAATTCATGATAGAAAGTCATAGTATAGTATGTCGTCCAAAATCATGAAAAAAAAGTCATAGTATAGTATGTCGTCCCAAATCATGAAAAAAAGTCATAGAAGCTTTATGACAATTTACTATGACATTTTATGAGTTTGTGGCATACTATGACTTACTAACGGCCTTTTTCATGATTGAATTGAGTTGAATACCTTTATTGTCATTGTACTTTACAATACAACAAACACAGGAGCACTACTCCACCATGTCGCACACAATAAATACAGGAAATATGACATAAAAAAGGAAACATAAATAAAACACTAACAATAAAACAGCAATCATGAAATACAGTGCAGGTGGACTGAATTTGTTTAACTATGTTTGTTTATTGAAATTATAGCATGTACACATCAATGTGAAATAAAAACAGGCTGTACATAAATATACATATAAATATATATCTGATTCCAGAGTTGGAGAGTTCCTATGAAGCCAACCAGGCGATCCTGGAGGCCAAAGCTGCAGAGCTGGCTGAGTTGGAGCAAACCGTCCGTCGGATCCTGGAGGAGATCAGCTACAAAGTGACACTGTATAGTACCTGTCTGTGATGATCCACCTGGACGCTCCAGCACCTCAAACTCTTTACTGTCCTCTGGTGTACTGTCTGGGATTTTAATAGTGCCAAATGTTTTTAAATTACTGCTCCCACATGATTCCCAGAGTATTTTATAGCTTTCAGGACCAAACACTGTAATATGTTCGACACTGTCGGTGCCAACAACTTAACATTCAAGTATACTGGACATCTGTGCCAAAAAGAATTTTAACAATGGAAACAAGTTGTAAAGCTGCCAAAGACCGTTAAAGTATTAAAGTAATGAGTCCCAAAGGAAACCACTAAAAGCCAATGTGACCTCAGAGCTGGAAGCCAAGAATGTATAGAGAATATAGAACAATGTATGAGATACTACAATCTGTGTTTTTAAACATGACTGAACATATTTGATAGAAACATTTTTATACTTCATATGCCCAGAGATATGATTATTATGTGGACCAAAAAGCATTTGTGAATGGTTTTGTGACTATGAACAAATATTAAAATTTGATTTGAAAATTGGTGACTACAGATTCCCTGTTGGTCTTTTTATTGTATGTTTTTGGCAGATGGTAGAGTGTGACTTGTTATACACATATCTCCCCAGGTTTTGATCAGGATTCCATTACTTTTACCTGCATTAATTAATATTTTGATGTTAATAGTTTCCCTCAGGAAGATGTTTGGCAGAGGAGGTAACCCACCAGGATCCTTACTGATCTATAGGAAATATACTGAGTAGGTTCACAGACTCTGGGCTTCAGTTACCTCTCTTTCTGGAGCTGAAAACCCAGAGTTTCATTTAGGGTTAACAAAGGCTACTCAGAGTTTGTCTGCAATAGCTACCCCGCTGATCTAGTCAGTCTGCTAGAGTAGACCTGAAAACTAGATGGTTCTTTTTACTCCACCATAGCAGGTAGTGTGAATCTCTAAACTGTCTAAGTGTCTCCATAGTAGCCTATAGTAAATGCCTTTCCATAGATGTACATCTGTTTTTTCCCATCTGGCTGTCAACATAGGCCTATTCATTCATATTTCTATTTTTGATGACAACTTTGATGCAGTGCGACACCTGCTGGTCATTTTTAATAACTACTTTTGGCGTGCTTGCTGTCATGTTGATAGTTTGACTGAGAGCACACGTCACTGTTCACGGTACATCCTTAAGAAAACTTACTGTAGAGCTTTAATTTTCATGGTCTATCAGCTGCACATTAACAGGCAATACAATAAAACGCTGTTGCATTACTTCATTGCCTGTCTGTGTGGGTCGAGGTCTGCAGAGACATCCTGCTGGCGTGAAGGCCAACAGGTAACCTTATTTTGAAAGGCACAGCCCAAATGTAAGTGACAGAGCACGTTAGCCAATCAGAAGCAAGGGAGCGCTGAGAGCCCGCCCACCAATCACGAAATATGGAGGGGTAAATTTGTTTATTGAGATTTATTAGGATCAGAAAACAAGAAATTGAGCTGAATTTCGATTCTTCTTCTTTTTAATTTTTGCCAAAAACAACTTGTTTCTGGTTTCTGTCAGTTATTCCCAGAAAACTAACGGTTAAAAGGTACCTTGGTCCTAATGGGCGGCGACAACGTATGTTTAATTCTTTAAAGCAGAAACGATGTAGGGTCATTTTTTATCAGCCCAATTTTTATATGAGTCCCAACGGTTTGAATTATATTTGAGTAGTCATATATTCATATAGACGTTGGCAGCTTGCCAGGGAATCAGCGGTGAACGTTACATACAGTACGTCACAACTGCTAACATGCTAACGACTTTTTCTAGAAGGTGTAACGTTAGAAGTCGCCCGGAAACAACTGATCCGGTAGGTTGCTAAACGGAGCAATTACACAGGTAAAACCCGGATTCAAGGACAAAGTGGAGCTGGATTTCATCTGTAGGTTTATTGTTAACTTGTCCCACCGGTGTACATTATGTTCTGACTGGTGTTTGATATTAATCGATTACTTCGTGTTGATCTCAGTCGATTAACGCACAGAGTAACCGTTTAAACTGTTGACTAGCTAGCAAATTAGCATTTTTGCACTACTTAACACATACAGAAACGTCTGCTGCTATTTGTTCACATATACAGTATACTATTATATATATTTATATTTTATATTTTATACTTTAAGTATTAGTAAACGTCTTTATCTGTTGTGCTTGTGCATTTTATTCTGTCACCATGGGATAGTGAGAAACGATTCCTCTGTATGTCTGGTACATGTGGAGAAATTAACAATAAAGCTGACTTTGACTAAAGCTGAATATTTCTCCCCCCCAGTGTCAGGAAGCTTTCAAACAGTCTTTGTTTTTAATGGATCAATATCTTTGTTATTTTTGTACAGAATACCAGTGAACACCAGGGAGCACTTTGAGTGATTTGATGACCATGGGACGGAGCCCGAGGAGACCCCTGATCCTCAGAAGAAGAAAGTTGCCTTTCCAGCAAAATGATCCTCCAGCGGCCGAGCCGCAGAGCCAAGCTGATGCTTCAACCTTCAAAGAACCTCCACAATCAGCTGCCAGTCAGAGCTTCCCTGATGGCATCTGCATTATGGATCACCCCTCCATGTCTGACACACAGGTGGTCGTCATCCCCAAAACAGCAGACCTTCAAGGCGTCAGCGGGGCCCTCACGGCCAAAGGCAAGGAGTGTGGTGTCCAGGGGCCAAACGAGTTCATCCTTCTGAGTGGGAATGGCGGCCTGGATGGTGGATGTTCATGTCAGGCTGCTGCTGACGGGGATGACGCCTCCACAGCTGGACAACCAGTGGAAGCAGAAGCTATGTTCAGCTCCCCAGATGCTAAACCTCTCACTGGAATTAAAGCATGTACGGAAATCTGATTTTTCAAGTATATTTGTGGAGTTTTAAAGTGTATTTTCCACCTCTTTAATAGCACTGACTTGGTAAGCTAACTTAAACTGCTTTTCTCTATCAGTGAATAAGGAACTGGAGTGTGGCCCTTTAGATGACAGCCTCACCAATATTCAGTGGCTGGGCCAAATGAACATGTGCACCATCAAACCAGATCCTGCCAAGAAGACAACCAACAAGGAGAACCAAGCACCCTCGCAGTTACAGACTCTTCAGGTCAGCTGCTCCTTCTTCCAAGCTAACACATCCATAATGTAATTTTGACTAGTTATAAAAGGAATTTTAGATACTCCAGATATAATCGTACAGTACCACCAGTTACAACTGTATTTCAGATATCTTCAATGCATTCTTACAAGTGACAGTTCCAGGCCAACACATCAATAATTAATTTTTCTACTTTTGATCTATAATGTAAGGACAATTTTAGATATCTACACTGAGTGTTTGCACTAGTAAGAATTGAATTGCTGATATGAACAATTGGCATTTCCTAGGGGTGGGGGTAAATATCGATACATCATAGTATCGCGGTATTTTTGTGGTATCGTCGCACAGTGCCAAGTATCATTTTTTATTATATGAATTATTAAGATTACAAGTACAAATTGAATAATGAAATCAGTTGTTTTTTAAGTCCGCTACATATGTTTTGCTGCAGATAAAATGACTGAAGTCAAATAAACAGACTGACAACTTACCTTATTGGATAATACAGATGCAAAATTTTCCTTCTGAGACATAATTTCCAGTTGAAAAGAGATATAAATCACAATATATTTTATCACAATACTCAGCATATCACAACACGTTTAAAATTGCAATAACATTGTATCATGACTTTTAAGTATTGTGATAATATTGAATCGTGGATTCTTTAGTGATTCCCACCCCTAACATTTCCACTTGTGAAAACCAGTTGTAGATGTCAGTAATTAACGTTTTGACTTGTGAGATTGACTTGATATCTTTAATTGGAATTACTACTGGTCAGAATTGAATTTTAGATGTAAAAAATAAATAATTTTCACTTTCACGACCAATTGCCCCCACTGAACTGAACCGGTTTGGTGATATGTCAGACATATCAAATCAAATCAAATCAAACTTTATTTGTATAGCACTTTTCATACATTTAAAATGCAGCACAAAGTGCTTCACAGAATAAAAACATACAACAAAAATATTACATACATATTGAAAACCCACCCCCACATATAAACACACACACACACACAGTCAATATAGTCAATAACATGGCTGGGCACTGAGGAACCAGGTGAAGAAAGAACCACCTATGGGGAGCTCATCCACACTGAGAGGTGTCATAGCCTACGGCCATAGGGAGCGCCACCACAGAGACCACCCCGACCCAGATAGACCGGGGTGGACTCCACACATGGTGCAGAGCCCCCCAGTCCTCCAGACCTGAGGGATCTCCAGGACGACGTCCCCGCGGGCAGCCCGGGCAGACCGGGCACGCCTCTCAGCGTGGAGGCCCCCCATGAGGAAACACTGGAGCTAAAAACTAAAAGACTAAAAGGCAATATGATGAGATAAAACAAGTATGAGATAAAATAATAATAAATAAAAAAATAAATGAAGATTTAGAAACTTAATAATAATAAAATGCATAAAGATTTAACAAATCATTTAAAAGCATTAGTAATTAAAATAACATATAAGAATTAAAAGAATAAAAGATATCAGTTAAAAGCCAAATTAAAAAGGTGAGTCTTGAGCCTCCTTTTAAAAACATCAACAGTCTCTGCGGTCCTGATGCTCTCCGGCAGTCTGTTCCATAAGTGAGGGCCATAATGGCTGAATGCAGCCTCCCCGTGGGTTTTTGTTCTAACTTTTGGAACAGTTAAAAGGAACAGTTAAAAGGCTGGTGCCGGAGGACCTCAGGATCCGTGAGGGTTGATATGATAAAAGCAGGTCAGATAAATAAGATGGCCCAAGACCGTTGAGACATTTAAAAACTAATAAAAGAACCTTAAAATCGATCCTGAAACACACTGGGAGCCAATGCAGCGATTTTAAAACTGGTGTAATGTGCACCCTGTGTCATCAGGAGACACGGCGATCTACAGCTGTGTGTCATCTGCTTAACTGTGGAAGCTGATGCCGTGCCTCCTGATGACGTCCCCAAGGGCAAGCATAAATAGATTAAAAAGACGTGGACCTAAAATTGACCCTTGGGGCACCCCACACCTAATTTCATGCGTTCTGGAGGAATATGTATCCATACTTACAAAGAAACAACGATTTGTGAGATAATAGCTGAACCATTTAAAAACAGTACCAGAGAGGCCCATCAGGTTTCTGAGTCTGTTTAATAAAATGTGGTGATCTACTGTATCAGAGGCGGCGCTTAGATCCAGTAGTACCAAGACTGTGAGTTTTTGTGAATCTGCATTCAACCAGCAGGAATGCAATAGTTGATATCAGAAATTACATTTCCACTAGTCAGAATCCTTTTTCAACATGTAGAAATTAAACTGTAGATATTGTTATTCTTACTAGTGAGAAAGGAAATATTGATATCTATTATTAAAGATATCTATGAATCAGTTTTTTGCTAGACAAAATGTGTTTTCTACATGTGAAATTATATTTGAAACATGTCAAAATTGTTTTACAGATAT